TTAAGAAATAAAAAAAACATTTAAGGACTACTACAAACCAAAACAATTTTAGTTAAACAATTCTTTTTTTGTTGCAAACCCCTCATCCCTTAAACTATTTTATTGTTTTTATTATGTTGGTGTTGAGTTACAACTATGAAACCATTATAATATCCGGTGGTTAAGGAAGAATAAATACAATTGTTATCTTTTATTTTTGTTAGTTGCTTTTTGCATTTCCTCACTTATTTATAGATAAGGAAGAAGGAAAGGATAAATGATCAATTTATAAATACATGTACTTTTATTAGAAAAGACTTGTAATCGTCTGGAAAATACGATACTGCAAACTGTACTCAAGAAAAGTAAAGCGTTTATGAAGATAATGTATTTATTTAAAACATCTACAAAAATTGGAGTATAAAAAGAAAAGTTTAATATGAAAGGAGCTGTTGAAGTCCTAACCACACCTCTCCTTATATTTGAAAAATTTTATTTGATTTAGGAGAGTGAGAGAGTAAATAATATCTTAAACAAGAGCTAACTGCGGTTTAAGGCATCAGTACGCTTGATAATAACACCAACTTATAATGAAGGTTTTATCGAACTGCAGCTATCACAAATGCAAAAAATAAAGAGAAATAATTGGGGACGAATATGTGTAGACAACTACATTGGTATACTCATGCATATGCACGTACATACATACATGTAGATATGTAGTACATTAATAAAACTCCTAGTCAAAACAAATATTCTCCCGACCCTCTGCATATTGCAATGCTTTTCTCATACATGTTGTACATGTAACCACAAAATGGGGATGCTTCAAATAATGAATTGGTAGTATACACAAATACCGATACTGCAAATATAGAAACCTCTTTCATTTGCACTTTGCACTCTGCAATAGAGTGAGAAAAGTGTACCAGAATCAAAGAATCTAATTATTGTAACATGTTAAATACACTAATTCCATACCTTCTGACAAAATACAATATCCAATATGCGTTTGCTTTAGTCATACTAGTAGTTTACTAAATACAACATAATGAGGAAAATTTCCGACTAGAAGTATCGTTCGTTCCCAATTTCATTCTTTTATTTTAAAATTATTGAAAGTGTATGGTCGTACTTTTTATGTACAACAATTTTGTGGTTAGTTTGCACCCAGCAATGTGTCGACCGACCTAACACTTGACCCCATTGACACTTGTTCTGGGCTACAGCAGAATGTATCGGTTTTTATAACAAATACATATGTACGACTACAGCACCTTGTTTTTTATTTGTTAGATATCAGAATTAATAGCCATATCACTAATATTGTCTATACATAAATGTATGTATGTATGTATGTATGTATGTATGTATGTATGTATGTATGTATGTATGTATGTATGTATGTATGTATGTATGTATTTAATGCATTAACCGCCTATTAGTACTTTATATATTTATATTTTTCATTTCTTTCTGAATACAGCCTTTGAATTATTGTTCAATCATTCTTGGAAATTCAAAACTGTTAGTACGATTTTAAAATAAACTAATTAGTTATTAACGGCTAAAAAACTCGGCAGAAAATTCATACTTCTTTATTCCCAAAAAAAATACGGTTTCAAATAGAAAGTAGTAAGTTTTGTACCTCAAAATCGAAATTTTTTTAAGAAAACGCCAAGAAAGATTTGGGTCCCATAACTTACTAATTGAATAAGTTATATGATTAATTTATCATTTCAGCGTAATTACCAAGAATAATTTTAATGTCAGAGATATACGGATAGAAAAAAATTTACATTTCACATTCGCTTTCGTTATTCCGACATTTGAATAAAAAATTAATATTGTTATTGTAACAAAGAATATTTTTTTCCCTAGTTCTGAATTGTTTGTAAGGATTTCTTAAATTTTATCATTTCGTAGTAAATACTACAAAATAAAGATATAATATTGTGAGGCTTTTGATGCCAGTCTCTTGTATAAGTTAGAGAATTTCATTGTTTAACTATCAAACCAAAAACCCAACCAGGCTATAAAATAAATATGTTGAAAAGCATAAAACATTCACTGACATTGTGGTAATGTGGTTGTAGTATTTACTTTACACCACAAAATAAAACACACACACTTTCATACGAGGGTCACTTGAAAGATTGCACAGTATAATTTGAAAAGTCAAATACAAAAAAAAAAAAAATATTATTGTTGAATCTAGATTTTACGATTTTAATACGGCGGATATTTTGTGGTACTTATTCCGTCACGACTCTGCAGTTGCAAAAAGTTTTTGTAATTGTAAAGATGTAATATTTTTTGTTTGACAATCACTTAGTCTTGGTCCCTATGTATAAATACTCCTCTATTTTTATTATAACAACTTATTGTTTCTTTTATAATTTTCGAATTCCTGTCCTTTTGCATTTAATACGATATTATGATCAATGTACTTGTTTAACAAAATGTTTGTGGGTGCAATAAGCATAAATTCAGTGGTTGCAATATAAAATACTTTTATTCTCTTTAACTCCCACCAAGCACCCTGAAGTGTTTATCTCTTGTCGTTTACGTTTGTTGTAAATGCTTAAAAAATCGTTGTACCATAGTCAGACGAACTACCTCGGTTTTGTGTTAAGTCGTTTGCTTGTTTGTTTGTTCTTTGGCAATATGGATTCAAGTTCATATTTTTAAACTTATTTTGGGGTTTCTCATTTTCACCGAGTTGTATAGATGTATACAATAAAAGTAAGCTTTCGTTTATTTATGTGTGGTATGTATATAAGTATGTATGTATGTCTATTAGGGTAATATAAATAAAAGTATAGATACAATTAATAACACAGACCGATAGTGAATGCTTCATTTAGTTTTTTTTTTGGTGAAAATATCTTAATAAATCTTAAGGCATAATTTTACTATCGTAAATTTTAACAAAAAATTAACAATATTAATTAGGCCTATGAGCCTTGTTATTAAAAATGTTTTTAATTTGTTTCAAAGTTATACCCTAATGTACATTCAAGGATATACGTTAGAGTGTCCAGAGGAACAGCTTTTTTGTGAATTGTAAGTAGGCAGAAGTCTCAAATACTGCATATTTTGTAGTGAACCCGGGAAAACTGAAAGCTGAATTGAATGAAATATATACTTTTTGATTAAAAATTCTGACCTCATTAGAAATTATCAAAAAAAAGTTTCCTAAATATTTTCAAAGTGGGTCTTAAAAATAACCTAATATAAGCTCATTGCGGGAAAAATAATCATATAATTTTTTAGAGTACTTTTTTATCCACAAAATTATCTTTAGTTCGTTATAAGTTTCATATAAACTAAAAAGTCTTAAAATGTCCAAATAAAATTTTAAATATTTTTATGAACTTTTTGATAGTATGATTATTTCCCGAAATCAGTCCAAAATTATGGATTTTTTGAGATACGTTTCGATAAAATTGAAAAAAACTATATTATACAAATTGTTCGGGATTTTAATCGCTATTGGGGAACTGAGGACACTTTCAAAAATTTTATTTTTTATTTTCCTGTATTTAGTACAGTAATACTCATCGTTGGAGGGATGTGCCTATAAAAAAGTTTTCCAGCGGACACTCTAATATACATACATATATTTGAGCGTTTCTTTTTTTTTTGCATGGTTGACATGATAACACCAAGTAATTCAATTCAAAATACTTTACATTATTGATGTTAATGTGTTTGAAATAACTGTTTCTGTTTCCTTAACATATTTGGTAGTGTATTTACAGTTGAGGAAAACGGTATGAATCGGTGGTGGTTTCTTGTTCTTTTTCTATTTATGTAAATACATATTTAGAGTTTTATGATATTTTTATGTTTGTGAGTTTTCTTATTTTTTACACATGTTGGAAAGAGTTACTATAGTTGTTTGTACAATATTTATATATATAAATATATTTTTTATACATTCTAAGGGTATAAAAAGGACGATAAAATAAAGTGTTTTGTAAATATATACTTTTAAAAGTTGTATACATACATGTTTAAGAAAATTAAAAGAGAGAATATAAATGATAATGTGTTTACATTAGGATGAATACATTTCTAGGCTTTTGAATTAAAGAAGCGCAGGTCAGATTAGATCTAAAATTTAAGGACAGGGATATGAAATAATCTACGTAACTTTAACATAGGAAAATAAAAAGTCTGAAAATTGGGATTCAATTCAACTTAAAATATAAGTTATTTTATGTATGAAATAATTTTGCTAATCGAATTCTCAATATTGATATTGCTATCAATTGTTGGTTCGTAATCGTTAACACAAAAACTTTACTGCTCCGAATGAAAAACACAAACCTAACTCAAAAGTTTAGTTTTTTTTTCTAATTTGAAATGTGTGATAATTTCGGATTAAACAATGTTCGAATTTATTCTTACAAAACACATGTCTGCTAAAATATCAAGTTTTATTTAAGATAATTAATTGACTTGAATACAAATTTATCAAATTTAATATTAAACGAAACACAAATTAATTTTTTTCGATTTCGAAGCTTTAAAATTCATTTATTCGCCGTCTATTTTGGGCGCAATCTATATGTAATTTTAAATTGATTGTTAATAAAATATAACAAAAGTAAATTACTTTCAGTTGACTTGTTTATTGTACAGGTTTGTTTTAATATGTCCTCATATACATGTGTATGAAAATATTGTTGTAACCATACCCTAAGCCGATTTAGTTGAAAACCATGTAAAATACTCATAAGTATGCCTTATATTTTGTTTTCTCGCTTTCCAACTCAAAATTGCAACAACGAAAACAGTATTTGTATTATTATAACAAGCACTTGACTATATGTTAAGTGAAGCCAATTTATATTTATTCACTTATTGCCACTTGTTTTTTTAATTTGTGTCCGCAATGTGTTAATTTCTGTATTTGTGTTTATAGTACAACAGTTAACATTTGTTTTGCTCAATAAACTGCTTAAAATTTAATTTTTTTCTGCATGAAATATGATATTCGAATAACCACTTACCATCTCTAGACTTGTCATATAGTTTGGGTGAACTATTCTTTTTAGCTGAGGCAACTGGTCTCATGGCAGTGTTAATTGGCTAAACCGCACAAAAGAACGAAAGAGAGAAATAATAAATATATATTAATATTTACAATAAATAAACCGATGATGACATACAACTCTGTCTGAACGTTCGCCACAAGGTAAACGCGCGACTGCCACATCTGGGCTATCTTCGGGTGGTGGGGGTTGTGGAACCCAATTATATGCACGTTTAGATATTGGAACACCAAAACGATCATGTTGTGAAGCTTGTTGCCTTTATAAACGAAATAAATTAAGAAAATAAAAAAGTGAATCTATTTATTTTAACCATTTACCTTAAAGATTCATAACAATCTAAACAGACGACTGCATATTCGCCATTTTCTAATAATAGACCATCTTCACTTTTTCGATTTTTTACAAATGGAAATTCATTAACAGGCAAAGCTCTAACCCGTTTTCTATAAGTGGTTATGCCACACAAATGACAAATATAATCGTGCCAATTATATTTGCGGTCTACTGCATTTATAGAAGGATTTTGCGATTCAAATCTGAAATTAAATTGAAATAACATAATCACATACATATGAGGAGTTTATAAAGTACAAATGCAATGGTAAATATAAATACAATATTAACGCTGTTTCAAAAGGATGACAACACTTCATTAACTAATCAATTTGTTTCTTTAACCTCTTACAAATTATATAAACCACGAAGTTTTTTGTAAATGCTGTACTTGAAAAAAAATAATATTTTCGAAACAGAGGTAATATTTTGTAGTAAAATATAAAATACATAATATTTGTTCTTACTTTCGCCACTGTTTCAGTAGAGAATGATAGCAAAAGGTACAAACATAGGCTGAATAATCTGGCCGTAACTGCTCGGCTTTTGGCAAGGAACTGTGTTTTAGTAAAAAAGGAAAATATGGTCTTGAGCCCTGTAAGTATTTAGTACAAGGTTAATAAAAAATCAAGTTGAAAATAAATTTGTTTATTTTCTAGTACCTCTTTACTGGCATATAAAACTCTAGCCAAGGTTAAATCTGAATGTAAACCACATAAAAAACAATATATTGATGTGGACGTAGCTGGTGTTGAAGAAACCGATGGTGTAGATGGCGGGGTATTAATACTCAGACCTCCATGTCTTGAGCCATTCGGCGATGAAGAGGTAATTACTGGAGAAGGAATGTCGTATCTGAATTAAAAGAAATATAAAACAATGTTTATAAAAATAATGATATTCGAATTATTAAAAGACACACCTTCTGTGTTCTAATGGTACTCTCTCTGCATCCATAGACTCCCATTGGCGCGCCAAGTGATTCACACAATCTTTACACGCCAACACTCTATTGCCAATTGGATCATTATTAACGGCAGACCCGCTGCTACTGCTTATATTGTTATCACGTCCATTATTATTACTATTGTTTGAATTCGAACTTGTGTTGCCTTTAAGACAAGGAAAATGCATAGCGTGGGAATTCATGTGCTCAGCACTTGTGGATAACCACTCCATTTTATTGGAAGCGCATAAAGTTTTGCATATGTAACATCTGTTAAAATATTATTATTTTTTTAATTATTTTCAATAAACAAATCATTATTCTTCTCTTACGGATATTGTCCATGTCCATTTTCAATTTGAGGCTGTAGTTGTTGTTGTTGTTGTTGTGTTCCTCCCACTTGAAGTGTGGGTGTTGTTGGTCGTGAATCATTGTTTCTTAAAGTTTTTATATCTCGTGGTTGATGCGTAGACGAATGATTGGAATTATTTTCGGATGGCTAAATAAATAAAAAAGAAAAATGTGTATTTCATTACAACGAATATGTTTAAGAGTTTGTCCTACAAAATATAATACTGACAGAACATTTTTTTAATTAAATATTAAGCAATTTTACCAATTTTCAAATAATGTTATAACAATATTTAAAAGGTGTGGAGTTACAATAATATAGTCAATATTTGGGAAATATTTAATATTGCCTTTGAATCATATGTAAGTGTAATGTGTCTAGATTTGAGTCGTGTTTAGTTATCAACAAGAGGAAAATTAAAATTTTTACTTTCTGATGACTCGATTTAATTCAAATTAAATTTTTAATAATATTCTAATGTACTCAATAAATATTTAAAACACATGCCAATTTGTATGAATAGGTCAATAGCATTAAATCGTTGTTGCACCGTTATCAATAAACGAAAATATGTAAAAACAAAAAAACTTATTTTTCAAAGATAACAAAGTAATTAAATAAAAAAATTCTTATCACTTCACCTTAATTAGTGAAAATAACAAAATATTGAATCTTGTTCAATTACATTTCTTGATCGTTTTGGAATAAAACTCAAGATAACAACCAGTGTACATATATCGTCACCTGAAATACAAAAAGGCGTAACAACCAATTTTTGTATGAAAATGGTCCACTGCATAAAAATAAATGTTTTTGCAAATTTTTAAATCTCAAACTCAAAAACATCGAATTTATTGCAATGAAATTCAAAAGGTCGTAAGAAACAAATTAGTAATTTCCACAAGTCAAAATGTTCTAAAAATAAACAATGTCTGGCGGTACAGTTATATTCTAACGTGTTTATCGATGTTGGGATACAATACTTGTAATAATATGCCGTTTTTATAACAACAATAGGTTTTAAAAGTGTTGTTACGCCCTTTTGCATTTTTAATGACGTTTTTTATTCGAGAAGGGCAATGTTATTTTATTTATAAAATTCATGAACCCTTTTGTGCAACATATTTATAGGTTGTAATACAAATTCAATTGTACAAAAATAAATGTGTATTTTATTTTTAAATTACAAATCATACCTATATCAGTTAGCTAATTATATTTTATTTGACACATAAGTCATACATAAATATAGTCAAATAATCATTAAAATAAATCTGCCTACACAAACTATTTGTACGTTTTGATTCTCTCTTATCAGTGACCAAAATACAAAGTCAACATGTGAATAAAACAAACACAAATGTTAACATTAAAAATATTTTAAAATCTCTACTTTGAAACAGAAGAAGTTCCTCATTGTAGTAATAATTTTGTGTACTTAAAAATAAAAAAGATAAGATTATAATACATAGAGACGACACATTAGGATGGATCGAATTGTATAGAGCTAAAAAAACTGTCCCTAAACTTAACTAAGACTAAAAAATAATTTTATATATTTCTGAAAAATAGTTTAAAAAATGCCCAAATTATCTAAGAATTACCTGTTCTAATCTTATTAACTACAAAAGAAGTAAATTTTATTTTATTATAATATTTTAAATAATAATTTAAACGAAATTGTGATATGTACCTAATTCAAGGCATTTTCCAAAGCTGTCTCAATTTATATCAGTGAATGTACGTCACCTTTAATAAACCTTTAACCCACAATGTCTATTTTATTGCTGTTAACATGATAACCTCATGTTACATCAGGCACCTTTGTATTCTCTTATCTTTAAAATGAAAATGAGTAAAAATTCTTTCACACAAGGACTGTTAAAATTCCAGATTTAAAAAATAAAAATATTTGTATATTATTTTGTTTCTCCAATCATTCATTGCTGATAGTAATGATTCTGATTTTTAATATTCACATTTTACGAAATATTTACTCAAAACTACAAACATTAAAGGTGTTTAATCAGAAACCTTGTGAAAAGTTATTAATTAACGTTTATATATTTTGTTTTTACCTTTTCAGCAGACGAAGCAACTAATGTTGAATGTTGAATTCCCTCTGCGCGACTAGAGTGTTTTTCATAGCAAGTAAAGCAAATTTGAACCATTCCTGCAACCAATTAAAGAAAATATATATTTATGTATTTTGATTTTTTTGTTACTTTTCCAAACATTACTACCCGACTTTACTTACCTTGGGGACTAATTGGACTGGCATTTTTGTAAGCTGTCATTGTTTGTATAAATGGATAGTATGGTTCTCGTTCAGCATTAGGACAACAATAGACAAGTCTTAATTGAGAGGATGGTGTATCGACACCACATGTATAGCAAACAAACTTTGCACGTTCCACCGCTGATGCTGGTTTTTTACGTAAATAGTAATTACGTTCATTTTCCGGAATTTGATTAGTCTAAAAAGATTTTGAAGTGATTATTTAAACCAATAGCATTGTCAGTAATATTTGTATTACTCTTAAATATGTTAACTATAGAGTTACGAATATGCGAAGAATACTAAGAATGAATAACATTTAAGAAATTATTCATTTTTTGGGGCAAAATCGAAATTATAAGAAAAAATGGAATACATAAAAGAAAAAATTTTAAACCATTATTGAAAATAAGTTTTTTTAAATAAAGTATGAAATAATTTGTTAGCTGATACAGTTTTCGTTTAGTTTGAGCAAAACCAATAGAGGACAAGAAAATGCAAACAAATTTGATTTTTGCCAATTTTTTCAAATTCACACACTAACGCAGAGTGTACACATTTTCAGAACTAGTTTTTCGAAAATACCTTTAAATTTTTTAATTCAATTTTGAAAATTTGAACATAATATTATACCGTCATCAGATGTTTACATACATACATACATAAATATGAAAATGCAGCATACGTATTTCTGCTACAGGAACTCGTTTAAAAAACCATAATTTCGATTTCTAGAACGTAACATTGCATTGTCATAAAGTCTCTTCTTGCTTTTTATTGATGACAATTAGTAGATATTTTTTACATTAAAATTATTTATGTATTTCCTCAACAAATTAATGTTACCTTTTCATGTTGTTTGTCTTTAAATATTAAATATGTTTTCAGTTTTTTATAATCCATCCATACATTAGTGGTATCGCAGCTATCCAATGATTTATTTATAATCACATAGTTGTGGCCGGCTTTTGACTCATTACCGTTAATGTGATTCACAGTATGAGAGATATTTGTGTTAGAAGAACTATTAGTGCAGTAATTTCTATTGTCTTTAAAAGATTCACTGAAACCACAATCATCTTTATTTTTGTTACTTTTTAGTGTAACAATGTTCGGAACAACATTTTGGTGTGTATTATTTTTTATTTTATTGTCGTTGCTTCTGTTATGTTGCGAATTAACGGTATCTCTATTAACAATGGTGGCAATGGCCGTAACATTTTTAGACATTTTTTTGGTTAAATATATTATTAACTTAACGTGCTGTAATATAGCTTGTATTTATTTATTTATGAGATAATTATATTTGTACTAAACTTGCACTTTTGATCATTTATATTTGCCTGTACACAATATGTATGTATTTGTATAAACGGAATAGATTCACGAGATGTTTACACCACCCGTCGAAAAGGGCAAAACATTTATTTGTAATACTATTAGAATTTTAACCAAGATTTAAAAATTTAAATTAATTTTTTTAAAATTCGCTATATGAAAATACAATTTAATTCAATTTTATCCAATTAAAATAGGGCTATCCTAATGTACATATATGCAAGTGTACATGTATTCGGAAATATACACATTTTTTGTGGCTAAATTCTATTGATATTTAAAAAAAAAAAAATATATGCGTTTGATTCATTACTGCGATAAGAACACAATTAAAAATAAATAACGCAATAAAATATTCTAAACAAATAATTCTGAAAAATTACTTTAAACACACACGCACACACAAACAACGCTTTTTTAATCAACAAAACGAGAGCACCGATCTAACAAACATATACAATATTTTCGTAAATAAGTTAATAAATTATAGGGGCACGTTAGAGAAGAAGCCAACAACATGTCAGCTTGCTTCTAATTTTCTACTGAGAACCGGCAATCCAACAAGAATGGTTCAAACCCTAAAAAAACATACAAAAAGCACTTGTTCCACTCACTCACTAACACAAAACAATAAAATACACCCAACAAACACAAGTTCAATAACAAACATTATTTTAAATAAGATTAAATATCACATTTAAATTTGTATAAATTGAAACTTATTTTGTAAATTATTCAAAATTTCAAGATCGAAGATCTCAATATCTTCGAATATTATTACGAAACCCTTTGTGGGCAATGGAATCTGATTGTGTATGGCTAGTTGCAGAAAACTTAAGTACCTTGTACATTCGGTAGCAATTAATAAGTACGTTAAAACTTTTGAAACTCAATGTTTGAACTAATAGTTACGAAATTTGAAAACCGTAACATTAAGTTGACAAATATGATTAGTGAATTACTCGAACTTTAGCATGCACAAAAGAGAACAATAAAAAATAAATCTACTTAACTATGGAGAAAGAAAATAAAAAATTCTCTCTTTCTAAAAACAATCATAAAGTAAAAACGTAAACAAAAAAGTCTTTGAAAAGTACGAGTAAGTAGTACAAATATTATACACAGTGCAAAACTAGAGTAATTATATTAACGTGAATCGACATTAAAAATATTGATACATATTTTAAAAACTTTAACTTTTCATTAATTATAATCAGTTCTTTAAAAATATATTTCAACATTTTTGTTGATTCATTTTATGGTATCATGTCATTACTTCTATGGTGGCGAGGAATAAAAGCTTAATACTCTTCGATCTATTAAGAACTGATTTATAAATTTTTATTTATGCATTATTGTTGATTCCTTAAATTGGATCCTGTCATTATTTACATGGTGCCACGGAATAAAAGCTTAATACATACTCTTCAATCTATTACGAATTGATTTAAAAATGTTTAATTTGAACCACGCTTTAAAATATATATTATATGGACGCTAAAACCAATGATATAAGTTCCACAAACAAAAACTCGGGTAAAATTAGGGTTATGATATATTAAAAAAAATATTATCTATCCCCATGTAAAAGGCAATACTAAATTAATAATAAAGATTGTGTTCGCGGGTCAATTTGGCAAAAAAAATATTCCGACAAAATTTCTCTTCGTCTGTCCGTTAAAATCAGTTTTTAGGAGACCTTTTTAAAAGCGTAAAAGTAAGATTGAGTTTCATAATATTTGTTTATGATCTTTTTGATTTGATGATTTAAATTTGTATATTTCATAAAAAAATTCAAGATATACATATATATGTACATACATACTAGAACAAATACAAACTTTAAAATTGTGAACTTTATACTCCACTGGTTAAAAAATATCATATAAGAATTATTACACCATTACGCGCCCAAATAATGCTTTGAAATTATGTATAAAATCAAAAAAGTGGACTTAATTAATATGTACGAAGTTATGTACATATATGCACTCACCTTGTAATGATGCCATTGTTTTATTAAATGTTCATAACACAAGTGACAGGCCTGTATCATACCTCTGGGATCCATGGGTCGTGAACGGGCCGGTCGCGGGTGCATGTCGTAAAAAATTGGAAAATATGGACGATCAATTTTATCATCTTTTGATTTGAGGGTACTGATTTCTATCAAACTACCCCTTCTCTGTTCATCACCACAAGCGTAGCAGACTTCTGTGGTCGAGTTTTTATCAGGCATGGAAAGATCTAAAATTCCAACTTCCATAGACGTACTTGATTGGTTGCTGTTTACCTGCGAAGTTGAGGGAACTGTAGAGTTGATAGGAGTTGGTGTAGCAATTGGAGTTGGCGTTTTTGGTGTCATGGAAGATCTTATATTTGACGTATTACGCAAATCTAAGACATCTTCTGTTTCGCGAGACGCTAAATAGTCTGCACCGAATGGACTAGATAAAGGCGTTCGTTGTGGGGCAGCTGCCGGGGAGTCACTAGGTGACATTGCAGTGTTTTGTTTAAATATTTGAAAATTATGGCTTGGTTGTTGCAATTGCTGCTGTGCAGCCATATGATCCATTTGAAAGTTGTGTGAGGGATAATGCGCTGTCGAAAGTTGTTGTTGTGCATTGGCATATGTGTTATGTATGACCGAGTTTGAATAGGAGAGTTGACCCAATTTAAGCTTATGATGGGCATAGGATGATGGTTTAATATTTAGTGTTTCATAGGCACTGCCCTGTACACTTGACGGCCTCGAGGAAGGTGAAGTTATTTGATGATTACCACCTTCTCGGGATTGTGGCCTGCTAGAAGAGTGTGGTCTCTCACTTTGATTTCTCGTTGTTGACATGGGAGAATTTCTTGCATAGTAATCTTGAGACATATTCGGTGCAGGAGATGGTGACGAATTTCTCGAAGTGGCCCCCTGAAGGGAGTGCGTCTGTTGATGGGAGGTTGTAGGATGTACAAGATAAGGCGCTTCATTTCGGTAATTAATAGGGTCCCGTGAAGTTCTTTGATATCCGTATGATACTTGGGAGGAATATTGTTGACTATCTGATCCCATACTAGATTGGGCAAGATGCTCTGCACTTAATCCTAACATCTGGGCGGCATATTCTCCCTGTGTTGCAATATCGGCGCCTATATAAGGTTTGTTATCAATCCTTTTCATATGATAAATTCGTTGTATATGTGGTTTTTTCTCCCTTTCGTATGCATCCCATTGTTCATTTAGAGAGCGATAACAGAGGTTACAGGCCATAGCGTACATTTGACTGGACGTCACCTGCTGTACACCCACAGGAGGTTCATGCCTTTCCAAAAATGGAAAGTACGATTCGGACGGTCTTTCATAGTTGGGCCTAATCCTAATTGGTTCGTAGCCACCCTGACCACCGCAAACATAACACAACGGAATCAAATCTTGTCCATCTGTACTTGCTGTCTGCTGTCGTGATTGAACTGGAGGCGGTGAAGTTTGCCTATTGCTGCCATGCGGCGAATGTTGAAAATATTGAGATTGATTTAAGTTAAATTGTTGCTGCGGCTGCTGTTGTTGATTTGCTGATGTTGGACGTGCCAATGATGCCACTGAATGTTCAGTATGCTGCTGCTGCGATTGTTGTAGTTGTTGTGAATTAGCACTTTTTAATTCATTTTTTATATATGCTTTGGCCTTTTCCATTCTTGTGCGGCTATAATTAGGTAATCAATAATTTCCATTACAAAAATATAAGTTTCACAAACAATAATCACAAACTTTACCTGTAATTTATATTCGTCTTTCAAAAATTTATATATCCTGACATAAAGAGAAAATTGTTTCTTGTTTTCCTAATCTTCGTGTACAATACATTGAGGCACTTTTTTTGTTGTTATTTTTTATTTTATTCCATTTTTTGTATTCAATTTAACTTTTTTATTATGATGTTGTATTATTGTTGTTGTTGTTGTGTATATGCATTTTCGTATGTATCATTAGTTTAAAGAATGTTATTGTGATTTAGATTTAAGAACTTCGTCATATATATTCTCATTGGAACTTTAATTATTATAATTTTTAGTTATAATTTTTTTTAGCACAAAAAAAAGCTTTAAATATTTTTAATTAAATTACATATAGTTGCACAAAAATCCCACCCGGAGAGTCAATCACATTTGATGTAGTTGCTGTCTCGTTGCATTTACTTACATACAATGTACATACATATATATGTACATATGTAGGTATGTATATAATGTAGAATAAACAAAAAAGGGAGAGCAGTGAAAACGAACAACAATGAATGAATGGAGAGTTCTAATTTTGCTAAAATAAGAAAATGTATAATAAACTATATAATAATAAAAATAATATAAAAGTAATATTTAGTTTGTTTAACTTTATGTTTTTCACTACACTTTAAAAATATATTCGTTGTTATGTTAATATTTTTTCTTATATTTTTTTATAACCAAACACAGAAAAGCCCGTATATCGTCACCAGGGAAAACCTTGCTCCAATTTTATCATTTCGCTATTTTTTAATCGTCATATCATTAGCATGACACTACTTTTCATAATTTTAATTTTTCTAGTGATTACAAATGTTTTTCGATTTCATATTATTTTTTATGCGTTTTGCGTTATTTTATTTAATCCTGTTGTTTAACAATAAAATCATTTTATACAAGGTCTTTTTTATATTTTTCACACACACTTTCTTTTCGTTAAATTTATTTCGTGACGTTGATTCGGGTATTCGGTGGTTTGGAATTATTTTTGTAAACTTTTTCTACCAATTAAAATAGGTATTTACACAGATTACGCTTGAAAATGGTTTACGTAATTTAACTAAATTACAATATATAAATTTTTACTGAATTTTATTGTTAATTTATTTCTTTTTATTGGACACAAATTCTGTTTAAGTTTCCATCGGAATTATGGAACAACAAAGAGAATAGGGATCCGAAGCCGACGTGCAAAATTTAACGGCGTTGCTATAAAAACGTTAACAGCTGTACAGAGCCGGCTGCTATTTTTTTTTTTTTTTTTTTTTTTTTAATGACGACATTCATAACACAATTTTTTAAAATTAAAATATTTATTTCTATTAATCGTACACTTATTCAAAGGTCAAACATCTATCTTTAAAAACACTGCTAAAAAAGAGATATATAATATTGTTCAGGAAAATTATTGGCAGCTTTTTTGTTTGGGGCAGTGTTGTCCATCAAGTTTCTAAAAAAGCGCCGTAATCGCCAAAACGTAAAACTAGATTTTTAATTCTAATATATTTATCTATAATAACATCCCTGGAAATATGTACATACATACATATTTTATTTTAAGCAGTGATGGTCATATATATATTTAATTAACGCCAAAACTTTTGCCAATGTTCTAAGCGTAATGTAACAAAAAATTGGCTTTGTTTTATTTATGAAAAATTTAAATAGACAACTTTATAAATCAATAAATTTTTTCCCATAAAAAATCTATATGTATTGACATTCTAAGGCCAAAATATTAAAAATCGATTTTTATGCCGATTTATAGAACCATAATATACCTAGATATATTTCGTTTATTAAATATATACAAACAGCCTTTTACAGGCCGCATGTATTGATATTTAGCATATAGGCCTAAACTCTGCAATATATGAAATGTTCAAAAATATATATAATATATACAATTTATATTAAAAAAACGTTTACAAAGTATGTATTAAAATAATGTTTCTCGAAAATAAGTAATCATAAAAACTAATTGCACTGAAAATACGCAATATCTTTTTTACTTACCTTTCAAATTATATTATATTTATAATAATAATATATTAATATTAAAAAATCATGAATAAAACTCCATACGTAATCCAACGTTTTCCAAACCTTTTTTGAAAAAATCACGCCACGGTCACATTTCTATTCAAAATACACCTCTAGAATTGTGTTCCTATATTTGTTTACGTAATAATAAATAAGTTAAGATCCACCGTCAAAGTTTTCAACAAATATGAATATATTATTTATTTAAAAATAAGTATGTATGTAAATATTATATATATATGCAATATCAGTATTTAATAAATTTTGATTTTATATATTTTTACCTGTACAAACTATAGGCCATTTGCGGTATACATAAAAATCGTGGAAAAAAAACTAAAGACATCAGTTTTAATTCCGGCTTTTATGTAATTTTAAAATTTTGATTTTTTTGAAAAAGCATCCACTTCGTTGAAGCAAATGAGTATAATAAAGTATATAGTTTTTTGTAATTTAAAAAATTCGTTTCTTTGTAAATTCCCTAAAACGTTTACATTTTTTGACAATTTGTAATATAAACTTATGTTTGTATTTATTAAAATAACAATAATAATAATAACACTCATTATATAAATTGTGTTTTTAGTTATATCTATAACAAAATCATATACAGTATTAAGTAAATAAAAATAACATCATATTAATAGATTTATTTCTCTTAAATATACCCAGTCACCATATAAATAAAAAACAATCAAACTAAACAAAAAACCAAATATAAAACAAAGTAATTTAAAGAACAATATTATCTTAAAACATATTTATGGACATCTCTGGACTTTTGCACAATTTAAATTTTCTATAAGTTACTACAAATAAATAATATTCATTAAATAGTCTAGAAAAAATGAGTATTCAAATTTACGTTTCACATATCGCCACCTACAAGAAAAAAAACTGTAACTAATTTCACAACTGAATATTAAAAATGAAACAAAAATATTTACGAGTAATAAGCTACATACAAATTAACCGGAATAAAATAAGTGGCGCTATGTAAGTATTTACATATATTTTATTTAAAGTCCAAAGATAATGGATTTTTAACAATAAAATTAGATTTAACTTTGTATAATTATACTATGTAGTAGTGCTTGTTTGGACCCAGTTTTTATACAATAAATAATGAATTACTAATCGTTAATTTTAATTAATAATTTACATATGCATGTATTTTCAAATTTATACATCATTTTGTATATATATATATATATATATATATATATATATATATATATATATATATATATATATATATATATATATATATATATATATATATATATATGTATATATATATATATATATATGTGTATTTTTATGTACATAGTATTTAATGTATGTATTTCCAAAAATATTCTTTATAAATTTATATTAAGCTTTTGTATATGTATGTATTTTACCCCCGTACCCACTTTCTCAAATGGAAATTTTATTTTCAAAACTTGTATGAAAATTACTAAATTATTAAATATTTTTTAAGTACTTTTCATACTTTCCGTCCGAAATACTGAATATGGAGTTATTTAAGATTTTTTCCGTAAACGTACAATTGTATATATGAAAATATATGCATGCGAAATATTATATGTATGTATATACTATGTATTTAAAGTTGTGTATATATGTAAGCATTTATACATATCTAAATACATATAATAAAATTCAAGTAGTAAGTATATGTACATTAGGTATAACTATATTTGGGCGGTGTAATATCACGGTACTGCTTTACTGCCAATACAATCCTGATAATAAAAACCTATTTTTTAAGTCAATTTGGTGAAAAAAACATCCGGCAACGAAAGCAATTTCGTGTTTTATTAAATTATTTTAATAACTTTCATACAAAGCAATATAATCGCCATTTGTTAAAAATTTTGTAACATTATTATAAAGAATAATCCTTTCTATAAGATAGTGTAAAAAAACTTGCAAAATTGTTACTCAAAATATTAATTTTGCTCATTTAAAAAAAGTGATATTTATATAAAACTTCATCGCGTTCGATGGGGAACGATCGCGAAAAAAATTACAAAAAGTTATTGCCCTAATGTACATATGTATATATTATTGTTTATATGCCTTATTAATATTTTGTAAATATGTGTGTGTAAATACGTGTTTTTACATGATTTTTAAAGTACTTGTTCAATTAATGTCATTCTGTCAACTTATTTTCAATTAAAGCTTTATTTGCTATTAACTAAATTTAAAAATTCCTCTCGCGTTTTTGGATCATCTCGGAAAACTCCCAACATGGTAGATGTCACAGTTTTACTGTTGATCTTTTGTACACCTCGCATAACCATACACATATGCCTGTTGAGAATTAGAGTTTTGGGCATAATTAATATAGCTTTCAGTTGCATAAAATCAAAACACTTACACTCCTTCGACAACTACTGCCACACCAGCTGGCTGAACAGCTTGTGTTACGGCAACAGCTATTTGTTTAGTTAGCCTTTCTTGAACCTGTAGACGTCTAGAGAAGATTTCCACAATTCTAAATAAAAAAAATTATACATATGCATTTTGAAATGAAATAAAATTGTATGTGTGTACAGATGTATATGTGCAATTTCGTGTCAAGTGACCCAACTTTTAAAATCGATGTCTTCCGATTTGGATGATATTTTAACCACGGTTAGTACTATTGGGTGCAAATTTTATCCAAATCGATTTTTTGAATTGGGTCACTTGACATGAAATTGCCCATATACAATATATAATCTTACCTTGCCAGTTTACTTAGTCCCAAAATTTTGTTGCAAGGCAAGTAACCAATGGACACCTTACCATAAAAGGGAACTAAATGATGTTCACACATAGAAAACATTTCGATATCCTTAACAACAACCATTTCATCATGATCTTCATCAAACACCGCACCATTTAGCACATCTGAAATATTATTTATACAAAATATGTAAGACTTACAATTATACACAAACAATTTATATTCATATTTATAATTTGCTTACTTCGGGATTACTTTTAACATCGTTACGTTACATATCGTCACCTGAAACGCAAACGGCCCTAACTAACCAAAAATCCAAAATCGATTTTATTTTTGATTCTAATGTATTGCATCAAAACAAACGTCTACACCAAAAATTCGATTTTATTGACAAAAAACAAAAGGCCCTATCTACAAAAACACTTAAATATTAAAGGTAAAAAGTCAAATTTATCCATTTTTATATAATCCACTGTTAACTATCATAACAAATGATAGGTTTCACTATTAAACAATTTGTTTATTTACTACAAATAAATCGCGTTGATAGAAACAAACTTTTCAATTTAAATAGTTTTATGCTTCTCCTGTAAAACTTGAAAAATGTTAGATAGGGCCAATTGCGTTTTAGGTGACGATATGTATGTATCACTATTTACTACAACACTAGTATAAATTAAATATGAAATTAAAATTGGTTGTTCATAATATGTACTGTGTAATGGTAGGATGAGTGTTGTGTATGATTTCTTTAAGGTCGAGATTGCAATATCGTATTAAAGTATTCTTTAAATTAACCATCATTACATAGAAATGGGAAGAAATAAAAATAACGTCCTTTTTAGAGAGTGGCAGATCCAGTCCCCAAATTCATAAACTAAACCAATGTATATGAATTTATGTATGTACTCGAGTTCAATGTATTCTAAGACTCAAGTTTGTTTTTCTTAAAAACACCTGCCCGTTTATTTAGTTTTAATTTTGATTATTGGAAGGCAAATTACTTTCATTTATTATGATTTTAATTTTTATAAAGCGACATTCAATGGCAAATTAATGAATTTTTATATTTAACCGGTTTTTCGGTCTGGTACAGTATATAAAGTAAGCAATTAAAAATACTAATAATATTCCAAATACTTGTTGATTAAAACTGAATACATAGCTTAGAAGGAGTGAATTCTATTTAGAATTAATTCAACTTCATTTTAAATTCTGCTTGAAATCATTCTAATAATATTAATTCGAAAGTTTAGTCCTTTTGTTTTTAAGTTTTTTTAATTATAAAATAATGCGTTTTTAATTAAATTTCTAACAGATTGAATGCAAACAATATTTAATTATTCAGAAAGAATTTTGCATTCTATATGATATAATTCGTCAGGAAATTAATTTAACAACGTTACATTCTTTTGAGAATCAATTTTCGGAAATAATACTCTGAAGAATTGATTAGACAATTCAATTAAAAAAAAATAATTAAGGAATTAATTCTTTCGAAGCTTTTAAATGCCTTTCAATTGTTTGTTCTTATATATGTATCTGTTACAACAGAAACATGCTCTTTTTTGTTGATTTTACCAATGTTAAAAATGTTGTGTAACTACATACATATTTTATTTAATTGTAGCTAAATTAAAACTAACATAACTTACGTACTATTTTTTTAATAAAGAGTTTGACAAATTTGTCCAAAATTTATATTTTTTTCATTTTAAAATAAACCGTGAGCAATTCAAAAAAAAAAACATAAAAAGTCACGCCCGTACACAATAATGTGCACAATACTCTACTTATAGTTTGACTTTTTAAAGTAATAGTGATCATTTTGCAAAAGTATAAGTGGACACGAATAAACATTTGGCCCAAATCAACAAACTGGTTTTAAAAAATTCTTCAGAAGTAGACCCACTAATTAATTTATTAATGTAAATTTATTTCTATCTTAAACGACATATGTAAATATGCATTAAAAATGTTTAACACTTTAACATATCAAAAGCTAAGAAATCATCATGCAAATGCAAGAATATATAATTAAAAAAACCCAAAACGTTTAATATTTTTCCTGAATTTGGGAAACCACCTGTACATAACGATATTAGTGGATTATTTTTAAACCACAACTTTAAATACATACGTGTGTAGTAGTTTTCACAGTTTAAGGGGATTTTTGTATACATGTTTTTATCCAGTATCTATGAACGTAAAAACGCAAATAACTAGTTTAAATTTATTTGTTTTTAAATTTAATGATTCATTAATGTACACTTAATTTTTCTTTGAATTTTGCAATATTGTTAATAAGATTTAAACTGAAATATTACCTTCTAAGCTTTGGTCATAACCTTTGGTGAAAAAGAGCATTGCTTTCGCTGCCCTTTCGGGTGTTTTGATTAGACCCTGACGGTCGGGATTTTCCCCCAAACCACCTAAAAGTAAACGATATGATCGGGCCATATCAGGTAATAGAGCTTCTCTTGTAGGTGGTTTGTGATCTAATTCAAGATCATGGTGGAAAGTACAGTTTTCGTGACCTGGAAATAGAAAACAGCAAATGTTAATTAATGTTATAGAAAAGTTTCATTTTATTTTAGGTCTAAAGAATATTAATCTGTTCACATACATACATATATACATGTGTATGGACTTATCGATGGTCATAGATCGACATCTCGCAGTTAACACAAATTTTATTATATTTTTATAGATTAAATAATGAATTTTTTCTAAGCAATGTTTTTTATTCCTCTTAATTAGTCAACACAGAATCCATTAAAAAAAAACAAGAAAAACATTTTTTATTGCAAGTTTCTTTTTCGACGTTAACGGTTTAAAAAAAAAATTGCACTTACATAGGAATATTCGAAATTTTCGTTGTATTTGGACGGATGCAGTACGAGATGATTATTTTGACTATAAATTGTTGTAGTAAGTCAAACATTTTTTTATTGCTTTTTTGTTATTGTTTATTTTTATAAGTTTTATTATTAAGACAAACGGAAGTGGTAAAGCTAATAAGACCATTTTTAATTAATATGTATAAAGAGGGATTTAAAAATTATTTATTTTTAATGTGTGTATAGTTAAACAAATATAATAAATTTGAATTTCTGTAAATCAGTCAACACATATAAATCAATATTTTTACATTTTTGATAATTTTTTATAAAAAAAAAATCGGCATAAATACTATACTACCTTTACACGTACATCTTATCATGAAATAGGGCTTTATATTTATATATTTTGATATTTTCCCGAAGTTATCAACAAGTCGGACTTTGTCTCAATTAAACTATCTCATATAGGAATACATTTTAAAATGCTATGTATCTATGTATACTATATAAAATTAAACAACACCGAGCATCTGTTGAAAATATGCATACATACACACATACAAACTTGTGCACTTAGCTCACGTAAAAAATTATATAATGCTGAATACTATTATTTTAATAGTATGTCTAAACATACACATTTTAGTTGTAAACTTAAGATAAAGATTTAAAAATATGTACTACCTGGTGTTGTAGAAGTCCTTGGTGTCATTGGAGTTATGGGCGATCTAATTGTTTCATTTTCATTATTTATACCATTTGTTTTCAAAATCAGTTTTGGCCGATTAGTGTTGTTTGTCTTAGTGGTTATTGGAATGTCACTGACAACAGCATTATTGTCAGCGACAGAACTATTGTTGCTGCCAACAATTGAAGCAACATTTGTTGGAACATTCGCATTTCCACTTACAACATCATCGGTCTGCGATAGATTGCGGTCCATTAGAGAAGAAGTGCCTGAAGTGCTACTTGTTGAACAAACACTATTGTTACGGCCACGTGAAAGGACATGAGCTTGTGGAAAATTGGTATCATCGATGGCATCGTTCAATTCACTGGCACTCATTTCAGACAACTGTCGCGTAAAACTCATGGTGGATTTAATAATATTTGTTGTTCGATTGTGTTTGATTTCTTATAGTTTTTTCTTTAATTTTTATAGGTATGTATACCAATTTAGAAATAGTTAATGGATTTATTAAAATGAGCAAGTAAATAATAGTTGTAAAACAAATATTTATTATTGTCGACTTTAAGTTAAAACATCAAGCTTTATTATTCACATTTACTTTTGTTAATGTTTTTCTTTAACACATTATTTTTTTAAATTTCTGATGTGACCGTTACTCCGTCTTCGCTCGACGAATTGTATTCAACAACTAAAATTTTCTACACAAGTATACAAAAATTCAAATCATTTATATTACATATTTATAAATGTATGTATGTATTCACATTTTTAAGAAGTTTAAACTGAGAATTAAAATCATCCTCAGTATAACACACACAAACACACATAATATTGAAAAAGCTTTAAAGCTTTATGTGAAATCCTCTTAAAAATACCCCTGCTCTCAGAAACTGTTGATTGTTAACCGTTATTTTGTGTTTAAAGAATATTAAATAAAGAATTGATGCTAGCAGAACATTGAAGTCACTTTAAAAGCTTAAAGCTTTTATAAACTCCATTAGTCTCTCTTTCTCTTATCTCTTAAATAAAAAAGTCAGCAATGAGTATGAATGTGGAAGTTAAAATATATGTACATACATACATATGTATATATTTGTATACACATATGTACTTCATTGCAAATTTCGCCATCAATAATCTATTAACGATATAACAACACCTGGTAGTTTGATGTAAATATTTTAATTACATATATAGGTATTATACAGTTGGATATGGCTATAACAACCTCTAAGACCGTTAATTTTGTTGCTTATATTCATTGTATTATGGTACAGAATGTTACTTAATTTAAAAGGAAACGATGGAGCCATCACCGATGTCAAGCAGCAATAAAAAGTAAAGGATACCCAACTATATTCTGACTTAGGCTGATGTCAGAGTGAGCGCTACAAGCAATGCGAAGCTTTGCGCTACAAACCTTTCCTTGTGTTTGTGTCATGTCAGAGTGAAAGCGAAGCTTGATGCGAGAAAACACAAGCAAAAGTTTGTAGCGCAAAGCTTCGCATTGCTTGTAGCGCCCACTCTGACATCAGCCTAACTTACAAGTTCAGACCGTTTTTGTTACGATAATACCAAAGTTTCTATTGTTTTGTCAGTACCATAACCAAATACTTTCATCTTATTTTATTTTTTCAAAATTAAATTAATTATGTATTTTGATAGATTTTTTTTACTTTAAGTAAATTAGAAATACTTAAAAAGAAATTTCAAATAAATTTTTGATTTTGTGTTTTTTCCGAAATGTTAGGAAAAGTTTTCATTGTTTTGTCACCCACTGTATATACACTATATAACTTCATCTAAAATGCAAAATAACGTATCATAATTTTAAAAATTTTAGAGGTGAAGGAGGAAAAATCGGTAAGTAATTAAAGTTTTTTTGAGATATCTAACAATTGTACATTTTAATAATATTCTGGATATCCCTAACATCATTTAAAATTAAAAAATTTCATATTTCTTTATATGTACTTTGATAATAATATTTAAAATATTTTATATTAAATTTGTGCAACAAAATATTAATAATACATATTTCATTTTATAATTTATCGGGATCAGGATTAAAATTCATTGTAATTTGATAATGGATATTAGAAGGCTATCTTCTAAAAATGATGATAAAGTCATATTAAAACAAAAAGATTATATTGGGGGAAATAAGCAAACTACTGGAAGTAAAATTATAACGCAATATCTTACGCAAAAAGATGTTGCGCCATGGTTTCGAGGGACATCACATTATCATATCCAAGGAGCCGACAGGCTTCTCAATGCTTTGCGAGACGATGCAGAACAAAGTACAACACATCGTGTACGATCATGTCTAAATTTAATAGGGCTAGAACCTATAATAACATCAAAACAAATTATGTGTTTAATGCGTCTAAGTCGTGGCAATGATTTAGTTTTTCTATGGTTTCTCATGGAAATGCATTACAAAACCCCTAAACACGATCCCAACTCATATAGTGTTAACGAACAATTAATCTGTTCAGCTATATGTCACCTGGACATGATAACAACACTCCGGGAATTGGATAAAATTCTTCCAAGTGGTCATACATCAAGAATTGAAATGAAGAAAGCTGGTTTAAAACGTGAAGCGCTTAAGAAATCCTTTACCAATAGAAAAAAAGAAAGAATTTCGACCAAATACGTTTTGCCGTATTTTGAAGAATACCCTCGACCTCAACAATATGGCAAACGATTGCTGTTAGAGATACCTAATTTCAAAGTTAACTTTAATATGTACAGTCGCTACAGCAATATTAATCATATAGTCCAAAATGAATCAAATCGTTGGTATGCGGATTACCACTTTAATCCAGGCAAACGCATTGTTTACTCAATTATACGTGAAACCATTAGAAATATATTCTATAACTTTAAAGAGGCCTGTGCAAGGTCCAAAACAATTGATGTATTGTGTGATTACCACAAGACTACTAAAATAACTCAAACCAATTTAGAACATGAACTTAAAGTTAGAACAAGAGACGAGTGCTTAAAATCTTACTTTAAATCTAATGAGGGTAAAAATGTAAGAATATATACCACATACTTGTAATGACGATATATGTACAAATATTCTCACACATGTTTTTTTTTTCTTACAATTTTTTAAGGACCAGAATAAAAAATTATCGAACTACTGGATAATGATGTGCAACTGCAACTGTGCAAATTCAACACGCAAAATAAGCGGCATGCGTCACAAAAGGAAGCATCACTGAAAACCATTACCAGTGATTGTAAAATATTCGATGTCATCCTGGCAGACAATTACTGTGGTTGTTGTAAAAGTAATATGAATATAATAGATGATAAAATTAAGTTTAGAGCAGTGGAAAAAAACAACAAAATAAATAATCTGAACAGTAGAAACAACAAGATTCATGACATGCATATGAAAAAATGCGGAAATATTCGCAAGAATATATACAATGAGTCAACAAACCTAAATTCTAAACGGGGTGGTAATTTAAGTACTACAAAAATAAATGAAGTGAATAATTTTGAATGTGATAATATCAGCGATACTTCTATGCCTTCCGATATAGTTTTTAATCGGCCTATGATGCACAAGCCCTTTAAATTTGATTATGAAAAAATATTTGTTTCAAAATACAAAGACGATAACAAGAGCGGTATAAAGAAATTTTTTCTTGCAGCCATGGACAAAAATACTTCAAATTTGTCAAACCAGTCGAGTCTTAAATATGACGAGGCGGTCCAAAAATGCGCTAAAAATATGTTTGAAAATGAAGTAAGAAATTATGAAGACAAGATAAGGGAAACGATTGAAGCACAAACGGCAGAAAAACTAAAGCCCCTCAACCAATATCCCACTTTAGCCAATTACAACGCAGAAAATTACTTGCTGATGGATCAAATGTTATTTGACGCCTTTCAATACTTACGCAAAAATCCAAAGTTTGTATGGGCTCAATTGCCGGATGCACATAAGATACCAATGCTACGAGAATGGATAGCACGTCGGTTTGGCAAGGAGTATACACCACGGGAAAGAGCCAAATCATATCGAATGTCGTGTAAAATATTTCGAGCTGTAGTTAAAAACAATTTAGAACTCTCCATACCGAATGCCAAACACATTGGTAATAATCTTTTTCTCAACTACAATTGCCGAAAGTATTTGGATAGAAAGGTACATATGTATGTATTGAATTAGATAACGTCTAGTAAAAAACGGGAAAATGCAACACAACACATTTCATTCATTTCATATTTAATTATCTAATTAAAATCTAAGTATTATACACTTAAATTCATATACATACATATGTATATTCATATATAAATGGTTTTCCTTTAGGTGCAACACATTAAGAATAAATACTACCATAATTTGGATTCATCATTTTTGGAACATACTCGCGTTTTCTGGTTTGCTATGCGCGGATACATTTGTTCTAATGGGCCTCCACGTAAAACCTTTTTTGCCTACATGCCATCAAGACTTCGAGACATTCAGCATTTACGTTTGTGGAAATCGTCAGACTATCGCAACTATAAAGTTGCTAGAAATGTTCGTCAACAAAATAAATGCCTGGATCCTTTTTAAGACATCCCACATTTATATTTTCACTCCAATTCTTGTTAAATTAAATATGTTTGTTTGTATCTATTTAATTGAATGAAACCCTATTTATGTTTTGTATTTATTTAATAATAAATTTTGAAGTAGTTTTTGTAGTATATAGAAATTATGTGTGAATATATATATGTAAGTATGTCTACTTATTATCACAACATGATTGTCGTCATATGTATGTATATAAATTAATTAGAAAATCTATCTGACAATGTTGATTTCATTGGCTTCGAAAAATAATTACATAAATGTAATAATTACATACATACTATGTATGTGTAGTGTAAACATATTCATTTAATACATACATACATAAGGATGATAAAGTTTTTATTTAAATGCTCTTGGAATGACGAATAAATATCGTAGCATATATTATTGTTAGAATTTAAAATGAAAAATCAAATCTTGGGTCATTCTAAAGGTTATCAGGAAGCGAAAGCTATGTTTATAGTATTCATATATAGTTTTAGTTGTCTGTTAGATGAATGATTTAATTTATAGCGTAAATAATTCTTTATTTTTTGTTTGAGATATTTAAGGTTTTGCGTTTTATCACTATATAATCTGTGAAATTTCTGTGTTCATCATAAGTATTTCTTATCATATTATAGTGTGTACCTACAATATTTGTTAAACTATTCTAAATTGTGACATGCACGACATTTTAAACAGTCCGTTAAACAACTTAAATTAACGGTTTTAACATAAAATGCTTTAAGGCCTATAATAATTAAAAAAATAGGATACAATGTATGCATGTATGTATACATATGAACATTCGAATTAATGTGTTTATGTATTGCTTACATGCTATGATTTTGTCACTAATTAAACAAATCTGAGGTAAGTAATTCCTAGATAATGAGCGATTTTTTTTTTGTATATGTACATAGTCTAAATAGCCTTCGATATTTTATGTCCGGCGTAAGTATGGCTTAGTTTTTATTTTTTTAATACATACATACTTACATACACACATACATACTTACATATTTACTTAAAGTAGTTCATGTGTCTGTTTTACTGTTTAATTCTTTTAAAATCCATAAAAATAATGATTAGATGATTATTTGAGGGTTTGACTTTGGTTTGTTCGAAAGAAGGCAAGTGTATAATGCAATCATTCATCCATAATAATTTATTATAAAATGAAATAAATAAATAATTACAAGTACATAAAATGTGTAGATAAGTTTTAACGTGTTTAAATGTACTTGCATATATACGAGTGTATGTTTGTAGTTACATACATATGTATGTATGTATGTAGATATGTGTGCATGGATTTTGGTATTTAAAAACATATGTTTTTAAGACATAGTTTTATGAACGCATATAAACCGTAAAAAATAATTTGTTTAACTGTAGGTCTGTAATTAAAACTGAAATTCCAAAGTCAATGTCAAAAACTCAGATTATGTTATTGTTGTTGTTAGAAAAGAATGCAACATTATTTTTTAAATTAATTTAATATCAAGTTTGTTGGACGATTTCATTTGTAAAATTAAAAAAAAATAAAACGTCTTAAATTTCATATATTTTTGTGGCTTTTATTGACAAAAGATTCGCACGAATTACTGAGGTTTATGTTTCCAGTTTTAATGAAAATTGTTGTTAAGATTTCATCATACAAATTTTGAAAATATGTACCTATACACATTGTATGCTAGAAATAAATATTAAAATAGTTCAATAAACACAAGTTTGCGGTAAATGATTTTTTCTCTTATGTAACGGTAGATCATAACATTCATTTTACTTCTGACGCAATTTCATCAGTCGAAAACTAGAATATTTAGAGATTGATTATTTTTTTATATTTTTTTAAATGAAAATTTGATGAATGCGTTTTCTTGCTGAACATTTGCTTTTGAAAGTTTTTTTTTTGTGAAATGAGGGTAAATATAATTGTATTGTGTTATTATTATAAAAATTATTAATAATAGATTTGCAAATTTTAAACTATATATACATACATTCACATACATATGTATGTACATATGTATTTCTTATAATTACCGTAATAAATGTGAATGTGAATTTCAATTGCCTTGACTTTCAAAGTTGTTAACCGAAATAAAAAGTTCATTGGTGTTTATAACCAACCTCAAGGATTGTTGCATGCTATATAGAAAAATGTAGTAACCTCTAAAAATTAACACATTTCGAACAAATTAAACAAATATCGAAGTTCTACTAACAATTAAACTTAATAATAATTCACTTTTAAATTAATTAGCCAAAATAGCTGCTGTACATATACAATGTATATATGTAATATATAAATACATACATATGTATACATGTACATTTTATGGTTTTGAAATCAGAAAAATGCAGTCCCTTAGCGTAAAATTTTAATTTTTCTCATTTAGAAAAAGTAATAGGTATTTATACAAAACTTCATCGCTTTTGGTGCGGGAACTTTTTCCAAGATCGCGAAAGAATAATATATATATATGTATGTGTGTATGTTGACGCTCTACAAGGTCTTGTTATGGTATTTTTGATATTTGCAAAAAGTTATACCCTACATTTGTATGTATGTTTTAATTTTGTGCAAACATACATATGTATGTATGTATATGCTAATATACAGACATAAATGAACAAAAAATATGTACTTACCGATTTGACATTGTTTACAATTTACACTACCAATACTCTCATTTGCATTGGCCACAAAACTCAAGTGAAGGCCAGATTTGGTGGCGGTGGCGGTGGTTGTGGAGGTGCTGGTGATGGCATTGCTACCATTTGTGTTACACTCGCTGCTGTTGTTGGTGTTAAATTGCATTAGATGTTTCTGATTGGATACCCCATTCTCGCTCGTTTGATGCTGATTATGGCCATTGTGTGCCATGGAAACGTTATTTTTTCCAATATTCTGTGTTTCACTTGTTAATTGTTTCATTTTATTTGAAAGTTAATAACTATAGTTAGGTAGTTAAAACAAAACGAAGGAATTCGATAAAACTAAATAAATATTATAGAAAATAAATAGATTGTAAGTAACACTTGTGGCTTTAGTAATTAATACGAATAGTGCAAGTGTGGGTATGTAGTTGTGTTTTTGTATAAATTAACAAACGTCTGGATCTTTTTCTAAAAAAAACTTGCTATTATTTTTTACTATTATTATAATTATTATGTATTTTTGTTGCTGTTGTTGTCCAGAACGTTCACTTTTGTAAATTTAATGAATTATTTATTAATGTTTGGTTTATTATTGTTCGCTTTTATTTCACTTTCCTTTAACCGACAATCAACGACTAAACAGTTTCTCATTTATTTGCGACCTTTTATTTTGATTTTTTGATTTGCCATTAAACACTCAAGTTTAAAAGTTCTTTTTTATTTTGTTTTGTTTGTTGTAACAACACTACACAAAACTTGTACGATTTGTCTTCAATCGAAAAAAGTATTTGCAAATACACTCTGTTAATGTTAGTTCACAGTAATTAGATGCTAAATAAACACTTAATGTTGAGTATTTGTTGATATGTTATATTGTTTATTTGTCTTTTTCTTTGAAAACAATATACATACATATATTTTCTAGTATTTCAACCACCATCATCATATAAGTTTCCCGTTATAGTTTTAATTCTCTAGGATTACAAAGGAACTTTTTTGTTCGTATTCGCATTCTCTCTAAACCACTTGTAACGAAAATTATCTAAAGCTTTTTGAGAGTAAGCTTTAAGCATACATACATCCGCACATACTCATGCTCTATACATTAACAAATTGAATGGTTTAAACCACTTTATTAAATTTCCGTTTCAAGTTTAAGTTCTTTACTACATAGGTATATACTTGTTTTGTTGTTAATCTAGTTTAAAACTTTTTTCCATTTAATTGGTTTAGAGAATTTTGTTTGTGTGTTGCTACATATAACTCTTTTGACTCGTTTGCTAACATTGGATAAACGACGCAAAGTTTCTTATCGTACCTATGATTCGGAAATGTGATTCATATGGATTTATTTATTATTCATACAAGGGAAATCCCCTTTTAAACGCTTTCTTTGAAATTTATCATGTAGTTTAGTTACATTGAAAATGAACACCAGCCAAGATGTGTTTAACTTAAAATGAGTTTTAACTTAAACATTTATGATTGAACTGATCGTTATTTTTTACTGTCAGCAGATCAGATGTTGTTTAAATTTTCCATTCACTTAATAAATCGATTGTATTTAAATATTTACAATTGATAATTAACTTAATTTTATAATTATATTTTACTCTTAAACAGAAAAAAAGATTAACATCTGGCTCGGTTAAAATTATCATGAAAGCAGGCGGAAGCTTTATTGAAACCAAACAAAAATGTGATATAATTATTTTATAAATCCAGTTTCATCATGATTACGCGTTAATCTCGATTGGGACAATCGATATGCTTTAGTGTGATTTGATCAAAGTGTATACCGCTCATTTACTACAAGACTGGCATTATCCAAAAAAAGTCGTTTCGAGAAAATTTGATGACATTTTACTATTTTTTTAATAACTTTAAAACAAATCAAGGGATCTGATTCAGATATTAGAGTTAGTATGTTTCTCATTTTAATTGAAATTTAATTTATATTTATCTGATATTCGTGGAAACATGAATTTAGTTTGCACTTTTACAACAAAAAATCGAAAGATGTGTATTACATTACTGAATATGGGAAAAATAAAATTTTTGGAAGCGTCCTCAGTTCCCTAACAGTGATTGAAGATCCTGGTCGCCGTACAATTTGTCCAAAAATGTCTCATTCTCCGTTAACAGATGTGTCATCACATCTTTTAAAGCAATTGTGTCATCACAACAAATTCATTTAAAAACGCTACTAAATTAAAGATTTTTATACATAAATACTTTTATTTAAACACACTTCCCAGATTTTACAATTCCATAACTTCACCTCCAACGGACTCTTTGCCTTGGGCTTGCCGTTCCAATTTTTCTTTTGCCATATTTTCTAACTGTTCTTTAGTAAGCAAAGATATTCCCAATTGATCTTCTCGTGTAAATGGCTGAGCCATACGTCTCAACCAACGCCGGGCTAATTGCATCGATTCTTCTGTACTAAGATTACAAAAACTATCCACTAAATGTTCTTGAATCCATTTCGGCAAACGGCTTCTTTTGTCCTGGCGCGCAAATCGTTTGTCAGCGAATATCATGATGCCATAATCCGTTTTACCTCTTAAAGCTCTTCCAACACATTGAGCTGCATGACGCATGGCATCAAATGTTAAGAAATCATTTTCTCGAATCTGAAATTGATCACGCAAGTAGTCCAGGCGAGCCTTCAATATTCGGGACTGTGTAAAAACATAGGGAATACCAAACATTAGAACAGCTCTACCATAATGGTGATCGAAATCCACCCCTTCAGAAACCTTGCCGCGAGCAACGGCTAACAAAACAGCACCTCTGCCACAATCACATGCCTACGTTGGTCAATGTGAAAAATTGTATTGTAAAAGAATAATTAACTTTATCTTACCTTAACGTAGTTCATCAAGGCATAACTGGTTTCTGCATTATCTTGGGTCTCTATAAATAGTAGCTTATATCGTAACAAGGTGTCTACGATACCCTGATCATACCAGGAAGCCACTACCGACTCTAGATACAAGTACGAAGTAAAGAAGCAAACAATACCATCAGGTACAGTCTTTGCAGTTTCCACTAATAGCTGCCCGTAATTTCTGATAACTGCAGTATCTTCACGCGTCTCGAATTTTGAAGATATAGCAACCTGGTCATTACCTTTCGAAACAATCTATAAATTTACAAATAAAAGGAATATACTGTATATATTGCTGATGTATATAGACTGATGTGATCATTTCAACCGACAAACAAACATTATTTAATGGACCGGACTATTAACAATAATCCGGTCTCATGGTGAAAGATATATAAAATATTATAACTACATACATAATATGACATTTAAATAAGAACTGTTAATTTTGAAAGTGGCATTAGTCCACTTACTTTTAAAAACAATATTTTTAAATCTATGTGATACAGGTAAAGGTAATTTACACGGTTATTTTAATTTAACTTTTATCAGAGATTCTGAGTAAATTTCAGTTGTTTTAAGATTTTTTATTTATTATTTTTAATAAAATCCTGTTTAATAGTACCTAACTCTCTTTCAAAATTATCAGTTCATATAATAAATGTTAAATTTTTTCTAAAAAAAATACGATACTAATATAAAAGAACATTCTTTCAAGTTTCATTAAAATAAATAAAAATTAAAAAACACATGTTTAACTTACCATTGGCAGTAAGCAAGGACGAGCTAAAGTCATTGTAAATGAACTCATCACCACAGGATCAAAATCTAAAATTTTTGGATACATATCCATCGGTGATAAGGTACCAGAAGTTATAACAACTGATTGAAATCTCTGAAAAACGGGGGCCATTGCTATGGAAGAATCTAAACAACTAAAATGTAAAATAGGATTGGCGACTGTGGGAGTTTTATCATCAAATGGTTCAATAATAATAGTGAATCCTTTTGTATATGTGCTAACTAATGTGGCAAAATGTGTAATCTATAAAAAAAATTTATATAAAATATTAAAAAACTATAATAATAATACATGCAGTTAATGTTTTCTTACCAACGTCAAGGCTCCGTATTCCGTCAAATCGGTTATTTCTAAAGTTCTTAATAAACTGGCTAAACGTTCAGCACAAAAACGTAAAGGCTTACGTTCTATACAAATTTTTGATGCAACATCCTTTAGAAAGCCAGCAGGCGACTCTTGAACTACATGATGGACTTTCAATCGAGTCTTTATATATTCAACAAAACGACGCAAGAAGCTTAGAAAGTGATCGGCGTTTCGTATATTTCCCGGTACAACTTCTGCAAACGTTCATACATATGTATATGTACATAGGGATATAACTATTGACATATCTTGCAAATATGCAAGTTGGCATAGCTAAGTCGAATAGAGCATTAAAAGATATGAAAAACCACGGTATTATTTTTTCGCGATTGTTAAAAATGTTCACGCACCAAATGTCTGTCCGTCTGTTTATTAAAATCAATTTTTTGAAGGCCCCATATGTCCTTGGAATCTAAATCTTAGATTATTTTATTAGATATACTCTTAGAAATTTCTCTCTGTAAAACCAGTAAAATCGATCTATAAGTATCAAAGATATGATCAAAACAAATACGATCAACAAATTTCAACTCGTTTGGTGCGGAAGTGTTGTGTTTCTTATTATTTTTTATGGCCTTTTTGATTAGGGGATGTACAATCTTATATTTGCAAAAACATCAAAAAGTCATAACCCAAATGTATGTATATTAGGGATGCCAAACGGGAATTCCCGATTCCCGAAAATCCCGGGATTTTCGGGATTTGAAAGTACCGAAAGCCGGGATTTTAAAAAATTAAATCCCGGGAAATTTCGGGATTTTAAAATCCCGAATTTTTAAGTATTTTTCCGCTATTTTATACATTATAAAGTACTAAATAAGAGAATTTAAAAAAAAAAAAAAAGTAAGAGTGCTATATTCGGCTATGCCGAATCTAATATACCCACCATCAAACCGTATGCCGTAAAAGGAATGCTTTTCTATAAACATCAGGGTGATATTACTCATCAAATTTACTGATAGGACCTTATATGAGAGGTAGGGTGAATCATTGACCGTTTTTATAAAACTTTTCATAATTTTTTTAGACCAATTTTGGTTCATACACTTTCCGGTAGGAAGATTTACGTTCCTATAAAAGTTTCTTAGCTTCTGGCGAGTAAGAAACTTACTTATCTCAAATTTCATCTTTACACTCGTACTTGTAAGCCAGTAATGAGCGTTAAAGTATTTATCTGGATGGGACCTTATGTAGGGGTAGGGTCAATTATGGACCGAACCACATAAAACTTGGTAGAGAGATTTTGACTCGCATGAAACATATGTGTATCGAATTTCATCGCTATTTTTAAGCCAGTAATAAGCGTTAAAGTCATTTTTTTAACGGGACCTTATATGGGGGTAGGGTCAATTATGAACCGAACCACATAAAATTTGGTAGAGAGGTTTTGGCTCGTCAGGGATTTACTAATATCAAATTTCATTGCTATACTAAATAGGCATAGATACTATCGGATATATAAAAATAACAAGTACGAAATTATAGGCGGGCGAGGCCGACCATATAACCCCATACACCAGTTATGAGAGTAAAATGTAATTTAGTTTTCATAATAAATGTATACCTCGCCTCCGATATATTCTAGCACTTTATTGTTAAAAAACTATTTTTCTGAAATATGCTTGGGGGAAGGACGCCATCATATGAGTCGATCCTCATAAAATTTGGAGGACGAATTTACGGTTACATAAAATGTTTTATGCTGAATTTCATTGCGACAGTTCTCTTTTTAAGCGAATTGTGGACACTAATTCTTTTTTAAAGCTGTGTTTTGTATGGGGGCTCGGATCAAAAGCCCGATCATTTCAAATTTCATCAGCGTATTTTAGGACAGTATAAAACAAAAGCACTACTCCGGAGAAACCCAATATACCATCCCTACTAAGGGTATAAAAAGGGCAATAAATAGGCATTGATACTATCGAATATCTATAATGGAAGTCAACCTGTCAATAAGATGGCGAGAAGATAATTCCCTTGGTTAGTGAACACGGAATATAAGGTGGAGGAGATATAGGTGCAGTACAGGTGCTCTATGTAGCCTCGTATGGATCCCCATTACACATACTATTTAAATATTATTTGGAAACCATTGTAAATTTGGATATCATGGGTATTATTTTAGGTTGTTATTCTACTATTCAGTGCCTGGGATGGAAAGATTTTTATTCTAAGTATGTACTTTGAATTAATTTGTTTTTCTTTTCACAAAATGCTTATTGGAAGGTAAACACCTACTAAGAGTATTCATATTGCAATATGAAATAAAACGTTTTATTTTAAGATTTTTTTAATTTTTTTTATATTTTTCGGGATTTAGAAATCCCGAAAATCCCGGGATCCCGATATCGGGATTCCGGGATTTATTTAAAAATCCCGAATCCAGGGATTTCTAAAAACCAGTCCCGATTGGCATCCCTAATGTATATACACATTTCTGCTTTTGTCACATTATATCGGTGTAAATACCAGTATTTAAAATTAAAAAAAAAGATAAAACTTGAACAAAAAATTTGGTTTATATTAGAAATTGGTATTGGTGCGTGATGTTTTTGCTTCCAAATAACATAAAAAAATTATTTTCACTACTTATATCACGTGGTGCTATGCCAAAAATTTCGCCAAATTAGTTATAATGTACATATACATAAAATTATATTATAAAGTTATTTTTACTTTCTATATTACCTTTTAAAACGTCGCTTGGTAAAATGGGATTGGCCAATATCATATCTGTATCTCTCTGAACACTCGCATCCTTTAAGCCTTGCACCATACGCTGATATTCTTCATTTAATCGGGTTGTATCCTCGTCGCGTATTCTGTTTGTAATAATAAAAACATATACATAATTCAAATCGAGTTTTGAAAAATTGATTTGTAATTGCTTAAAACGCATCGATGGTACAATTTTGACACCTCATAACTGATAAATAATCATAAATAAGTCAGTTTCGAGTTAAGATTTTATCATCGTATTTCTCAAGATTTACTTACTCCTGGACTAATTTCTGTAGATTATTTAAAGCATTTGTGCTGCGTTCAACAGTCCGGCGATTTATTTTAACACTCATAGAATCAATGCACACATTATCAATGTTGTGAGCTTCATCGAAAACAATACATGATTCACGACACATCTCCTTTGAGACAACTTCAGCTATTTTTGGATCTAGTAAATAGTGATAACTGTATACCACTATATGGGCTTGAGATATCTGTAGATACAAGAATTCATCATTCTAAAACAAAGTATTTTAAAATATTATTATTAATATAGCTTTACCGCGTATCTGGCCAAGAAATAAGGACACCAATTACGCATACGTCCATAGTCTTTTAAGTCGTCTATACTATAAACACCGACTGGTAAAGTAGATTCTTTGCCTTCAAGATGAAAACCTTCAAAATACTGACCTGTAAAATATTTATATAAGAATAGTCGGTTTATATAATGCATAGATGCTTCTACAAACATATCGGCGTCTCCGCATCATGCTCGTGTCTTTCCCTAACGTAACTGGCAGTTAGACCATAGCATTTACCATCAACCGACTTTCCTTCTCGCTCCTTACTAACATCAGGATGTATACACATATTCTTGCGTGAACTTAACACTAGACCTGTTAATCCTGGCTGTTGGGGAGCATTTTTTTCGTAGTACACCATGAGATTTTGAAGTTCTGCTATGACCTTTTCAATTTCCGGGACTGTACGCGAGCAATAGATTAATTTACGGACAGCTTCAGGATGTTCTATCATATAAGCCACTATAAGTGATAATAATGTGGCCGTCTTTCCCGTACCGGAAGGCATCTCCAGTAAGCAGTGCCCTTTAGCATCCAATGTGCGTTTAAGTTCAAGCATATACGCATATTGCTCCGGATAAATGTACTCGTAGGGAAAATATACCAATAAACCATCAACACTTATTCTAAAAAACAAAATTTTAAAAATAATTATTATGATCGGAATAACTTTTAGTAGTTTTATAAATTTATAAATATTTACTTCATGTTTACAATTCTACATAAACAATACAAAAAATATTGAAATATTAATGTGCGCCGGTTTACAGTGTTGTCAACTAAATGTTTTTATGTATTATTTTATAATTTTGTGTTTAGTATTTCATTCACAATAGTGGTTTCACTTAAATTTTTTATAGAATAACAAAATTTAACTTTTAATAAGTTCAAGTGTTTGCGAGAAAAACGGTTTTTTATTTTACCGAAAACTTTATGGAAAACACAAAAAACAAACCAGGCGTTTTAAAAAAATAACATATTACGAAATATTTGCAATTTTATATTATTTTTAAAAAGTCGAGTTTAAAAGCATAAACATTTTTCTTTATGAAAACAACGGCTTTGACTCCAAAAAAGTTTTATGTTCGAAAGCCATGGCATCATAACCATTGCTCGTTTATTTGTTATTAACCAACACTGAAACTATTATTGAATACAACACTGCTGTTAAATGTCATGTTCGCAACAACAACAGCAAAATGTCACTACATTTTTTTGTAATACTTGAAAAATCGCTTGTAAAATAATGTTGTGTTGGTGGAATTATGCATAAATCATAATAATAAATCCAAAAAAAAAATAAACTGCTATTAAAATATTTTACTTTGTTGGCTCATTATAACCACCTTTGCAAGTGTTCAAGAAACAAAATCTCTAAATTAAAATGACTTTAAAAATTTCGAAAAATGCAGTGAAAGCCAGGCAATAACAAACAATGTCTTATATACATACATATGTACATACATACAATATAAAAAATTACAGAAAATGTAAAGAAACAGGAAGTTTATTCAGATAATACAAGGGAATAACAAGAAATAATAAAATATAAAACAAAAGCATGCCAATAAGAGTTTGATAGAAGGGGCGTTCATTGGCAAGTCAGACATTAAAAATAATTTAAGAAAAATCACAAAGAGGCCCTAATAATCACGTCATAATTGTTTTTGGAAAAAGGAGACTTAAAAGCTACGTCAATCGAATTAGATTTTCGTAGTACGTGTGTTTGTGTTTACTTGTGTGTGTTTTTAATTAAAAATAGTTTTCACATCAAAATAAAGTATTGAATGATTTTCACAACCATCATTTTAAAATGTAATTTCGTAAAGCTCTAAATTTTGTGCAAAACCGAACAATAACATTCTTCATACATACACATTTATTTTTTAATACTTTCCTTTACCGGAGGGATAAAAGGCTCGGATTTTAAAATCATTTACATGTAAATTCAATATTTAAAAAGTATCTTTTCAACTAAAATATAACGAACCGAAATCATGAACATCGACGAGGAACAACAGGCCTTATTGAAACGTGCTGCTGAAGAACGAGAATTAATATTTAATCGTTACAGTTTGGGTTTAGATCCAACAAATCAAGTGGATCCTTGGGAAAATCCAAAATATGAATTATATCATATTACAGATAAGTAAGTTAAAGTTCGCATTAGAGAAATTTAATATTTTAGTGATGTTACACTCCGATAACGGATCAGAAAATATGCATATACAAACTTATCGATCTTTTAAGATTATCATATCCAAAACATGTATTGTTTCGAGTAACACGGCTTTAAATGTTTTTATCCAACTAACTTTTACACAAATCACGAGTCAAAAAATCGAAATGGATAAAATATTTTGAAAAAAAATATCTGATAATATCTAGTAATGCAGATATTTATAAAACAGGTATTTTAAGTTATGACACTTATGAACTATTATTATATTCTTCATTCTATTAATTTATTGCTGTATTAAACTGAAACTGGAAATTATTATAAATGTGCGTTATTTTAACTGATGAGATTAATTTATTTTGAAAAATGTTTTTAAAATCATAAACATTTCTATTTCACAATTTTTTCATTAAAGTTAAAAAGATAATAAATTTTGTTAATTTGAAACCAGTGCAATCTTTATTAACAACTACTGCAACTAATAATGATCTAAATCTTAAAACATCAACATCAATAATTTTATGAAGCGATTCAAATCTTTATGTGACTTGCCTTAGAAAATATATTTTTAATCGCGTTATATTTTCAAATTGGATATTAACAAAATTTTTAAACATACCTATATTAATATTAATATATGTAATTTAAATTACAGATATGGCTTCATGCATGATTCACGCCTTCCTGATACACGGGATTCGCAAGAGCTTTTGCGGACTAAAATAGAATTAGAACGTGATAAAAAATGGATGAAAATGCTTGCATCGTGGAATCCACATCATGAAAAATTAAGAAAGCGAGTATTTAAGGGTATTCCAGATCGTATGCGTTGGCCGGCATGGAAAAAACTACTGAATGTCGAAGAATCTATGGAAGCAAATCGTGATGTATATCAGCGCATGTTGGACATTTCCCGAAAATACTCGACAGAAGTACGACAAATAGATTCCGATGTTAATCGCCAATTTCGCGATAATTTAGCATTTCGCGAACGCTATAGTGTTAAGCAAGTCTCATTGTTTAATGTGCTAAATGCATATAGTGTTTATAATCCCGAATTGGGATATTGTCAGGGTATGGCATGTGTAGCTGGTGTTCTATTATTGTACATGCAGGAAGAAGAGGCATTTTGGGCACTGAATGCATTAATAGTTAACGAAAAGTATGCGATGCATGGTTTATTTATTGAAGGCTTTCCAAAGCTAACGCGCTTTCTGGAACATCATGATCGTATTATGTTAAAAATAATGCCAAAATTACACAAACACTTTATGAAGCATAACGTTGATGCAATTCTGTACTCAATTAAATGGTTCTTTGTGGTTTTCGTAGAACGTGTAAGTTTTTGTTAATAACTTATTTTACGATACATATAACTAAAAATAATTCCAAATTTAAATTTGTTTATTTTTTCAATTCAATTTTCTATTTGCAGATACCATTTAGTTTAAGTTTGCGTGTCTGGGACATTTTTCTGTTGGAGGGAGATCGTGTTATTACTGCTATGGCTATTACCATATTATACCTGCACAAATCAGAACTACTTCGACTTAAAGATATGGATTCTATTTTAGAATATTTACAAGTAAAACTGCATAAAAATTTCGGTTACAACGACGATATAGCAATAGATGCCTTAGAACGTGTTATGAAGAAATTAAAAGAACACAAATTAGATGTTCCACCTCCAGCCAAAGTCAATGAATTTCCCACAAAGCCTTTGGGCCAATTTGTAGAAGCGGATATCGAAAAAAAAATTGGTCGACGAAGATCAGAATATACAGACACAGAAAAGCAGGTTATAAATGATGTCATATTAAGGTAAACATAAAAACAAAATCATTATTATCATATTAATTAATTAAGAATGTCCACTTTTTTCAGGCAAGAACAAAATGCTATTGAAGTTCAATCAACAGTATCATACGAAACATCCGAATGTGCTACTGGTAAGTTGAATGGCCAAATGATATTTGTACATATCAATGATATTCTTACAAATAACATTTTCCTACATCCAATCCCGTAATAACCCTTAGTATAAAAATTATTCTACACATTTTTGCATTTTTTAATTCAATGACCATACAGCGTAGACAAACTTTACATACATTATTGCTAGAGTCATTTAATCTTTCTTTATGTTCTTTTTGTTTTTAGTTTCATTTTAACAGTTTTTAATTGTCAATTGATTTTTTATTTTTTTTTTTTTTTTTAATCCATAACAAATTTTTTTTACCGAAGTACTCGAAACGCGTTTGAAATAAAAAAATATTCGTATAAAGGTTTATTAAAAAAAATGTATGTACATTAGCCGGTATTTAGCCTCTATTTAATAGATCACGAAGTTATAAAAATCTAAATATGTACTATGTATGTATTGGAAATTCATACTTCACAATCGATCGAGACTAAAAATTTTTTATTTTTATTGTTTTTTAAAATAAGAAAGATAATAATAATTGAGAAAAATATGTAATTAATATAATAGAGTGTTCCTTTATATTATAATCCAAGTCCTTCAATTATGCGATTTAGAATGACCATTTCAAAATTAGATTGAGTAGAGTAAGAAAATATTTCAAGCCAAGACTGCAAGTTATTCCAAATTCTTTCAGTAGTATTATGGTAGTATTATTTGTATTTTTCTAGATTGTTTATACATACATATGTATATAAATATGTATGTATGTACACATGTACAAATTTCAGCATGATATATGTTTGTAATATATACTTTTAAACTATCTATTCTCTCTGCACTCTTTAATTAATATTACTACATTGTTATGATGATAATGCATGCTTTTCTTAATGTTAATCATTAAATTACTTTCTAATAACTTTGTATAAAAATTAATGAAAATGGACATCTATTTATTTTAAAAATTTATGTTTTATAAACATAATTATTTGATGCCACAAAACATACACATGTGAAACAAACTTATGGTACAAAAATTCAGTGAGAGATTTGAATAAAATAATAATCAAAGTGTAAAGACAAATCAACCAGAACAGAATTCCCAATAATTTCATAGAAAACTTAAACAAAGATATCTCGAGCACATTTAATAATCTGCATTTTTATATATGTGTGTATATTTTATAACTAGATATTTGATAAAATATGTACAAACTATTTATTTTACTTTGCGAAAGAAATCAATATTTATTGAATAAGTATTATGATGGTAAAATGCATAACTCCATCATTTTAATTGGTATTCCAATCTTCATAATTGTAGCGTGGGAATAACACTATGAATACCCAATAGGAAAAGACGTCGACCATATTCCCGTTAAACATGATCATTTAGCGGTAAATTCATCGAATGCTTATTTTATGTTAAGATACATTTGTAAATATGTTAACACCTCCATTCTACATTAATTGATTAAAAAGAGCTTCCGAATGAATTGAATAATTTAACAATTTTGTATTCAATACACATTTGTCAATAATTAAAAATGTTGTGTATGTTATCCACATTATAGGTGATGCATATTCCATGAAAACTTATCAAAGTATCACTAGTTTAGCAACATCACCAGCTATTAGCAGTAATTCTTTGTATAGCAATGGATTTTTTGTTACTCTTACACCACCACCGCCACAACAACCTAGCAACAACAATAATAGAAATTTCACTACTTCCACCACTACACCAACGACTGCAATTAAAACCTACAATTCCCCTATGACACCAATATTGTGTGAAGATGAAAAAACAACGAATCGTACAAGTTTCAAAAGCAATGATTGTTATTCTTTTGTTGAACATCATTTACATAACAATCATCAAAATGTTGATAAAACAAACACTAATAATGATGAAGAGCTAAATGGGCACGATAACGATATAAAAGTTTTAATTAATAATTATGATAAAAAAATGTTCCATTTACATAAGAATGATCAGTGTGATGATAATATTAATAACGATGACAACGACGACGATGAACTTAGCGTGGAAAATACTCGCCTTTAATAAAAAAATTCCCATTCATTTATTATTTATTTATTTATTATGATTTGTTAAAAACTACATATTGCCTAAATAATTTGTTAAAATTGTACTAAACTTTAGTAGAAATTATATACATAACTTATTTTATATTTATTTCGCATTGCACTCAAAAAGCCAACAAAATTATTTGATTAATTTATATGAAATTTAATATGTAATTAGAAAAACCGTTTTCATTTGTTATTATCTTGCATTTTATAATTTTAAGAATTTAAAATTAATATAGTTACATATTTGATATAAGACTTATAGCATACATTTAATTACTGATGTAAATTTAAACAAAATATTTCTTAGTTTTTGTAACTATATATCTAATTTCTGTATAATGCTTGGATCTAGATTATTTCAAACTTCCTACATATGCAATTAAAATTTCACTTTTTGAAAAACTCTTTCTTTCATAATTTGAATGAGTAGTGAATTTGTTGTCATTGTTGCTAAATTAAGTATCTTAACTGTCACTAATAATATAGGTATTCATTAAATCATTTTTAACACTTGCTAAATTAAACAAACACAACAAAAAATACATGGGAATATCGCAAACCCAGTTCAAAAGTGACTCAATTCAAAAAAAATGTTTCTTTTTTCAAAAGATAACAACAAAACGTACTGCAGATAAACAAGTATCTTGTGGATAGTTTGAGGCTTAGAAGCTAGAAACATATAAATCGGAAAAAATTAAATTTTGAATGGAGTTACTTTTGAACTGGGTGTTTAGAATTGCAAGAATACCTACTATATACATATATATTGTTTCTAATTTGTTATGAGTATTTTATTTATCCAACCATACAAAAACAAAAGTAAATTAACATTCCTTTTCTCCTCTTGCTTAAGTTTGTATTTAATAATCTCCATTGATATTATAAAATTGAAAATTCCTCATATTTTGTATACTTTTAAAAAAATACTATATCTACTACATAAATATTTGTTTAAAAATAAATTTTATTCTAAAAATCGTGTTGCAATATAATATTTAATTTCAAAACGATTACTTGCGTGAAGGTATTTATTTTTACGTTTATTTAAATAGGTTTTGATTTTCCAAACGCCCGACGTTAAATTTAAAAAATCGACAGACTTTAAACATCTTTATTTAATTATTAATACACAACAATTGAATAAATTCAATAAACTGATTTTAATAACTCCTTTCGTTCTTTTTTATCCTTTAAAATATTTTTTGTTAAAGTATGTAAAAATTGTAAAAACAATAATAATAAAAATTGGCATTTATTTTTTGTTTTTGCTCTCGAAATTTTGCCTAATACTGAAATAATATTGAAAAAATTGGACGTTTCCTCAACTTTAACAATTAAAACAACATCCCATAATATCCTTCAACGACCCACAAAAACCCATTGGCATGGTATTTTGAATAATTACATATATTCATATATATTTATATAATATTTACTAAAAAGTAACATTAACTGTACCCGAGGATAGTCACTCAATAAGAAGTTCGCTTGCAGGTACATCAATGGCCTCACATGGTTCTTCGGAAACATTTTCGTTGGAGGACAATAAGTATGCTGAATAACATAGAATCGCGTGTATATTTATTTAATATGTATTTACATTTGACTTTTTATTTATAATAGTATACATCTGAAGACAGCTAATGCTTTACAACAAACACCGCAACGCGAAATATTGATGGGTACCTGACGTATGCCTTCTACGCCACCATTACATAACTGTGTAAAGCCGTGCTACTCTTCACCAGTGACCACAACTACAGCAGAAGCAGCAGATTTAGAAAATAAAACGTTTGAAATAGCGGATTCCAAAACATTTAACGTGGTAGCGGCGTCTTCCTTAAATGCATTAATAGATTCCCAACTTATTGCAGTCCAAAGTTCTTCTAGACAAAAAATTGACTTAAATATTGAAGCTGCGACGCCCACTGCTCCCAATGCAACACCAATTAAATCATCAACATCGTTACAAACACATTCAACACCTTCCTCTACGCCTTTAGCTACAGTTTAAAATTTAGATATACAAGTTTTATAATGTATTTTTTTAGTTTTAGCGTCTTCAATTTTATAAAAATTTACAGTCGTATTCACACATAACAGATATATGTAGGTTTATGGACGAAAGTTGGCTGCTTCTCTGCACCCTGCAAAAAAACTTGACGAAGAAGTACATACCGTCACCTAAAACGCAAACGGCTCTATGTAACATTTTTAAAATTTTACAGGAGAAGCAAAAAACTATTGAAATTGAAAAGTTTGTTTCTATCATCGCGATTTATTTGTAGTAAATAAACAAATTGTTTAATAGTGAAACCTATCAGTTATTATGATAGTTGACAATGGCGTATATAAACATGGATAAATTGGACTTTTTACCTTTAATATTTACATGTTTTTGTAGATAGGGCCTTTTGTTTTTTGTCAATCAAATCGCTAATTTTGTTCGGACATATGTTTTGATGCAATACATTATAATCAGCAATAAAATCGATTTTGAATTTTTGGTTAGTTAGGGCCGTTTGCGTTTCAGTGACGATATGTACATTCAATAATGAATTCAGCTGATGATAAAGTGCTTTGATTAGGTGAATAATACATATATGATTTTTACATCAGCGGTCTAACTTTTACGAGAATTCGAATTTTCAAAAATATATGTAATTAATTGGTGAATGATATTTTTTTACTGTGCATTGCAAAGAATATTTGAAAAAATTACAAAAAATGTTATTGTTTGTACATATTTACATATGAACATCAACATTTAAAATACTTTAATTTTATTTGAAAGTTTAACATATACAACAATATTAAAGAACTTTATTGGTGCAAAGAAATTATCGCAATTATGAAGGTATTTCGAATAGATTTGATTCCACCACCACTTAAAAAGTGGTAAAAAATACATTTACTTTGGACTACTTCTAATTTTTTTAATCTGCTATTTAGCTACGGAAGAAATTGTTACTTTTTTTAAATCGAATTAACTCAAGAAAACAGTTGGCCACCTTTTATTCAGCATTTATTGTTTTTTAACTAATAGGGCTTCAAACTTTTTTACTTGTGTTTAATAAATGACAAAGTTATCTACACATTTCATATTATATTTGTATTACAATAATTCTGCAACACAACAATAACTAATAAAATTGCTGTCTTGTAAACATTATTTTATTACATTAATAAAAAATTATTCCTTTTTGAAAAACATGGATTATAAATAAGAAGACATAGATTTAAAAGTATCGAGTGCATAGTATTAAATGTTACAAAAATTATTTCATTAAATTAAGTCCATGAAATTCTACGTTTTGTTAAAACTTGCCACTGTTTATAAAACTTTTAATTTCAACAAGTAATAATAATAATTATTATTATTATAAAATAATAGCATTTATTTTATCTTTAAGTTTAAGAAAAAAATAAATTATTGTTTGTACGATATTATAACTCTAATTGTTAATGATAAATGAAAGAAAAATAAATGTAAAAATAAACATTCAACATAATCGTCTAATATTAATCCCCAGTAATCAGTAATAAAGTTTATTGGAAGATTTTTGTATGTAAAAAGGCGTAATAACAATAAATAAGACATTGATAGCTTTATGAATACGGGGACATTTAATTAAATTTAATTTTTTGCCTATACAATAAAAAAAATTTTTTTTTTTTTTTGATGATGACAGTGTCAACTTGACACGCGAAGTACAAGAACCACATTTTTGTATTTAATCATGAAAACTGTTGTATTTAAGTTAAGCATCCAAGAAAAACTAAAATACATACATATATTATGTTGCGTCCGAAAAAGATAAATGAAAAATAAAAAATTATAATATTTAAACAATAACAATTTAATAAACAATATTTACAAGGTATGTTATTTTATTTCCAACAGTCTTGTTTAAATCTTTTTCGCTATTGACGTGATTTTTTTGTTGTTTTATTTCCACTATTTTCTATCATTTTACCCAGATCCTTTAATGATACATCACTAGAGCCTCTTGGAAGTGGAGTCGGTTGGTTAGGTCCCGGTTTCCAACCGACAAAATAAATGATCTGAAATGTGGCTGGAACGCCATTGTCCTAAGAAAGTATGAATTTTTCGTTGTTAGTAGAATACAAATGGATCTTAATTGTTTAAACTACCGTTTGGTACATTTCCTTGTAGATGGCACTGGCAGCCATCATGGTGTCTCTACTTAAGTGTATTGGTCTGTTAAACGCTGCATTATTTTCTGCCATACCCTTAAGGTCCCACATAAGTTCAAACATAGTAGGATACCCTATGACAATCTCATCAGTGTCTATGGTTAGCATGGTATAACCTGCGCGATTAAGCAATGAACCAATATCTCGTATCTGTTTAGAAAATATAATGATGGTTAAATAGGTGTTCAGTGGTTAAATATATATTTAAAGTTATTATTTTTGGTTTGATTGATTTTTTGCTTCAAACGTCATAAAATAAAAATAACAATTAATACCTGAGTAAAGGGTGATATATGAGGAGCTATTCCACCTTTTCTTTCTAACTCAGCCAGTTGTAATGAAGATCTCAATTCATAAAGAGTATCCCCTCCAAACATTGAAGCAATAAATACTCCATCAGGTTTTAAACTCTTTATAACTTTACTAAAACAGCCTGGCAAATCGTTGACCCAATGAAGACTTAAAGAAGAAATTACTAAATCCAAGGAATTTTCCGGGAACTATAAATTATATTAATACAATTATAATAAACAATTAGTCAATATCCTATGAATATGTACATACGTTCCATTGTTCTTCATCTAATTCCATTTTTGTAATTTGTAAACCAGGCGTTCCTTTTGCCTGAGCAAGCATAGTTGGACTGATATCACATAGTGTTAAATGTTTTACACTCTCTGCCAAAATGTGACGAGATAAGAAACCGCGGTTGCAACCTAAATCTGCTGCATTATCAAATTCCCTTTTTATATCAAATACTCGGTCGGCCACTCTGTAACCGACCTCCTCTTTGAGGTAATCATACAACTCGACATCGTCACTGCAACAAAATTCAGTAATGGATTAAAAAAGTTTAATTATGTATGAATGTTCTACATACCTTTTTGCAGCTCTTTCCTTTTGTAGCCTTTTAGAATTCCTATCGAAAATATTTTGATAATTCGGTTGTGTACTGTAATGGGCCTCTACATTGTTAAATGCACGCCCGAGTAAACTTAATTGTCTTAAGTTTAATTTATGAAAATTACTTAACATTATTTTCTTCTATATTTCAATATTACTAACAGATACAACAGCACATAGCTTATACGATGAACATTAACCCAGCCCAAATAATTAAAGTTTCTCTTGTTCTTCAGTATCTCATTATGACCTCTTTATATGTACATGTATATAATCAAACAATATGATTCATAATTTTATAGCATGGGTTCCAATATTCTATATGCCTTAGTTTAAGATGGAATATGTTAATAATTTTTTTTTAATGCTGTCTAATATTTTAGAATATGTAGTGAGACATACATGTATGTTTAAAAAAATAGGTATGTATGTATTTAATATTTTTATTTATAGCACATAGGAATAACAAATTGTGTTTATTGAACAGTGGAAATAATACATGAGATATATTTTTGGAATAGTTCACTACTAATCGATTCATAAAACAACGTTTGTGTCTATCAAAAAATAATCCTTGTTATTTTCACCCGAGGGGAATATGCAACTATTTTTGTATCCGCATGTGTATATTATGTCTAACAGCTGATTCGTTTATATACAGTGACATGCTGTGGTACTGTCATAGAGTAACATCTAATTTGGTAGCAAACAATATAATTACTGTTAACGTTTTGTTCGTTGAATCTTCCAACAAAGATGTAAATAATAATGTACTGAACACGAGAAAAATAAAAGATCCTCAGTTCACTACCAGCGATTGAAAGTCCTATTCCGTAATTTTGAGTTGTTTTTTTATTTTTCTCGTATTTAGTACATTAAAACGTATCGTTTGAGTGGTATTCCTTCAAAAAAGTGTTCCACGGGACAACCTTATGTACATGGTTATCTGTTATGATTATTCCATCTTTTGTGTATAGCTCTGTTATTCCTTTTTTAAATATAAAAGAACAATCTTTCTAAAAAAATACATACATACATATGAAATAATGTGTTTTATTTTTAAATACACAATTCTTAAAATTAATCTAACAACTACAAATGTTTCATTTTTTAGCAATTTTCAATTTTTCAGAACCCATTAATATAGTTTTATCAACATCTGAAAGTTTGCGTTTAGATGCAAATGGATTTACTGAATTCAAAGGTGTCCGTGTAATAATGGATTCATCAACCTTCGATGAGCTTTTTGATAATTGAGAATCTAATTCGGAATTACTGATATTTTCTTGAGATGTTTCTGAAGACGATGGTAAATTTTGTTCGTGTGTAGATTTTTTGAACAAAGATATTGAAGGGGAACTACTGTTGTATGAAAACCTTTTTAAAGTAGTTTTTTTTGCTGAACCCAACTCCATGGTCTTGGGTGCCAACTTTTTTGAATTCGAAGATGAACCATTTTGATAGGCCTTTAACAAGATGAGGGGTGATGCTGGTAGAGATTGCTCAACTAAGAGCTCTTCATGTTCCCTAGTTTGTTGCTCTTCTTCTATTTGTGGCAACAAATCGGACAGTTTATCTGATAAATGAATCCTTCCCAGTTTTGTTGCATACTTTACTGCCAGCATTAGCAGGTCTGTACAAGCAATGGTTTCAATAAGTTCTTTTGCTCGTACCTCTATTTCACTACGACAGGCCAAAGCAAATAATTTTATGGCGGTCTCTTTAACTGTTTTTTCTGCGTTGTCCATGGACATTATAGTCGCGCGTAAAAGGGAATCTTCCAGGGACGATTTTTCACTTTCTATATCACAAAGTGGCAATTGCAATTGTAATTCCTGCACCATTGGACGAGGAGTGGTCATAGGATATGAAGTTCCTCGACAAAGCACGGCTTGAAGTATTTGTGATCTTTCCGAAAGAGAAATAATAAAATAATTATTCGATACGCTTGAGGATTGTTTCATGGTATCGCAAACTGGGTACCAACAATTCGATTTGAGATTAAACAACTGAATCAATCCCATAGAGTCGTAGAAAACAGGGGAACCACAATCAGAAAATCCCAGCCAAACCAACTGTCTTTCCGGCGTCAGAGGTATTGTTATATTTTGGCACTTTATTTTAAGGCCTGATGTCTGCAGTAACATGCCCTGTATGTTTTGTTGTTTTACGCTCGATGGAGCACTGTGGTAGCAAACTAAAATTCTATCTTCATATCCAGCCATGCATATCACCGGACCGGGTACCGAAATTATTTCTCTTTGTGTTCCCATCACCGTAAAAATTCTAAGAAATTGCAAATTTGAGACTGCAGCTACCATTTTCGATGTTGCACATATAGCTTCGACACTCTCACAATCTGGTAATTGCAGGGACCACTCTCTATTTCCAGAAGCAGATAATGCTATGCAAACAATTTTTGATGAACTCTCTGATGCCATGGCCAAAACTGAGGAGCTTAAACTTGCCATATTATGATTATTATAATTTGGAATATGCAGTGAATGATGTACACTAGCATCGTGAAATTCAACATCTATAGCTCCATCCGACCCATCAGCGTGCAACGTTACTATACCAATACTGTTCCACACCAAATAACGATGTTCCAAGTGGGTGGGAGTTGAACTGGGCTGAAAGGGCAATTGCTGTTTAAATGTTTTGTTGTAAGCAGCTCCCGATATTGATGGGCTTTCTGAACGCTCTCTTTCAATAGAATCCCTGGTTCCTTCATCACATGGAACATCTCCGTTTCCGTAAGACATAATTTTACTCTTTAATTTTTCAATTGATACTGCATCATCGTCTTCATCAACATCGTCGTCGACATCACCACCAATGCCCAACACCCTCTTATCACTACTTTTAGAATCATCTTCAGCGAATTCTATTTCACCAAAAACATTATCGACATTTCCAGTGTCTTCCTCCATGGCGTCGTCTTCAAGAGCATCGTTTGTAGAAAACAATACACCTAACTGGCCTGAAGCATCACAATAAGCGATTTCACCATTATTTTTACTATTCCAAGCTAAGCATGTTATATTTTGACATTCACTAGACGGCGCTTCGCATTTTTTAGACTGCCTGCTGTTGAAATCAAAAACAGAAATCTCTCCCTTATCGGTGGCGGCTGCTAAGAACAATCCATCCTTAGAAAATTGGCAACACGTATACTCTCCCTTAATTTTATCGTCTGTAAGGGAGAACTGCGTTTCCCACGTTGAAGTACTTAGTACAACAATTTCTTTACCATTAACGTAGGCAAGACTGTTGCCATTGCTTGGTTCAAAACAAGGACTTCCAAAACATGTTGCATTCTCAAAACTGTTGCTTTTAGTTAATCCTGTAACTGTTTTGATTTCCTTGAATTCTTTTAGATTCCAGATTTTTAGATTACCTTCGCCACCAACTGATGCCAAAAAATTAAGTCTCGGATGTATATCCAACGCCAGCACTGGACCTTTGTGTCCTTCTAATTCAATCGGTTCTAACTCTCCATTTTTTACTTTAATTTTTGTATCTTCAGAACCAGCAGCCACGCAATCATTCCTCACCTTAATGGATACAACAGGCGCTGTAAAACGCATTAATGTGCCGTCTATTTCCATATCCGGGAAAGTGTACGCCTGCACTGTATTACGATCTGTAGACGCCAATAACTTGTTCCCTTTTTGGGCCAAACAAATTATGTATTCTCCTAAACAGTTCGACGAGGGGTCATCATCATCTATACCTCGCCATTTGCGAACATCACCATCTGAACCACATGTCAAAATATATTCTCCATTATCCGTATAAATTAAACTAGTGAAGCCCGTAGTATGAGCATAACGCAAAGAACTACGCTCGTACATTTCAATCAATATTTATTTAATAAAATTTCTAAGAGCTCAACAAATTTCTTCTTTTTGCAACTATTATTGTAAAGTGTAAACAATTTTGGCGCTTAGTTTTGACATTTCGCATCATGCACAATCAGTGTTGCCATAAGATTAAATTTTAACAATTTGCCACTTTTTTTAATTCCACTATTCAATATGTCTAGAAAAGATGCCAATTTTTAAAAATATGTATTTCAATTTAATTGTAAACACATACATATGTATGTAAATAACATTTGGGTTACAACTTTTACTGCATTTATAAGCCGTCTCGTCACGTTCTTGTAAACGTCGCCGCCGAAGACAAGATGAATTTAGACGCCGGCCATCAATTTCAATTGGCTCGGTTCTTTTATTGGGGTGGTGACGGTAACTTTGTTCCTCGAAGAAGAACACTTAATTTAATTAAATTTACTATAAAATAGTAAATATAAATAAAGCTATAAGATAATAATTCAGTATTTGGGTAAAATACATAAAAATAGACTAAGTGCATTGATAACATATACCCTCCTTTCACAGGTTTACACGCTTAAATACCTCCTCCAACTGCAAACACATATTGGTAAAAACTTATCTTTCAGCAACACACAGAAGTTATTAAATAAATAATTTGTTTATGAAAAAGTATCTAAAAATATTAGTCACTCCATTTGCATAACAGAATGCTCATGGCCACACTCTAAAGCGTAAAGAAGAATGAATCAAGGATTGGCAATGGCATTTCTCTGAACATACTATATTGTCATTGAAGTAAATTATCTAAACAATTAGCACGAGTTAACGGTGACGTTTTATCTTCATTATTATTGGTGGTGCATAGTTTATTTTGTCATCAATTCGTCATAACTCCGCTTCATTTGCAGTACATACATACATTCTTAAATAATTATCTAGTAAAGGTATAAAAATGGTGGCCATTCCATATTTATTTGATGAAATTCAAAGGATATTCAAAAATGTAAGTTTATACCTATTTTAAATACAAATGTAGGTAATATGTAGACATGTTATATGTATAATGAACGGTTAACAACACGTAATAGATATGTTTTTTCCAACATGAGCTAATTATACCAATAGAATTTTTGATCTTTGCCATTGAAATATAAAAGCATAGATATGCACATCTATTTTTAAACATACTAGACTTGGTTTAATTGGAAACATCCATCAAAGTGATATACATATCTGTTGTTTATAAATATGTATGTATGCATATTAACTATAGTTTTCTTGTAGACTCCATTATATGCGATCATTTTGGAAGCTTTTCTCTTACTATCGGTAATTTGGCTTTTGCTTTATAAACGCAATGGACGCAAACGCTATAGCAAAGAGGAGGAAGAGGAAATAATAGCCAGCTATGAGCCTGAACCTTTAGTTGCGCATACTGATCCTAATCATCCACTTTTACGTACCCATTTAGTTCAATCGAAAGTAGGAAAACGTGTGGTAGTCGATGGTAATGATTGTCTCAATTTAGCCACCCATAACTACTTAGGTTTGCTGGAGGATGATCAAATTTTAGAGGATGCTTGTAAAAGTCTTCGAAAATATGGTGTTGGTTCCTGTGGACCTAGGGGGTTTTACGGTACCATGGATGTTCATTTGGAATTGGAAGAACGTATAGCTAAATTCATGGAAATGGAGGAAGCTGTTGTATATTCCTATGGATTTTCGACCGTTGCTAGTGCCATTCCAGCATACTCCAAACGAGGAGACATAATTTTTGTGTAATACATATTTCTTATAATATTAAACACTGGTGGTTTAAACCTTCTTTTGGTATTTTAGCGATGAAGCTTGCAATTTTGCTATACAAAAAGGCCTTGACGCTTCGCGTAGTACAATCTATTATTTTAAGCATAATAATATGAAAGATTTGGAACGTTTATTAGTAGAACAGGCTGCAAGAGATCTAAAGGTAATATAATGTACAAATTATATGCGTATGTATGTATGTACATTTGCCTTAAAACTACTTTGTATATTTCAGAATCCCAAAAAATCATCAAAAACTCGTCGATTTTTGGTAGTTGAGGGTATCTTCATAAATACAGGCGAAATTTGTCCATTACCCGAATTAGTGGAGCTTAGATCGAAATATAAACTTCGATTATTCCTGGACGAGAGTGTTTCATTTGGAGTTTTGGGTAAAAGTGGTCGTGGTCTTACTGAACATTTTAATGTCAATGTAAGTTTAAATAACATATCCAAACAAAAGTATTAATTCCAATAAATTGGTTTATTCTAGCGTGGTGATGTTGACCTCATATCGGCAGGCATGGAATGGGCTGTTGGCTCTATTGGAGGATTTTGTGTTGGTTCCCATTTTATAGTAGAACATCAACGTCTCTCCGGCCTAGGTTATTGTTTTTCAGCCTCATTACCTCCAATGTTGTGTCAGGCTGCAATTTCAGGCTTAAATCGATTTGAGAAGGAACCCAAAATATTTGAAGAATTGCAAAATAACTCTAAACTTTTGCACAATATATTTTCAAAGTTATCAAAACTTCAACTTAAAGGCAACGAACTGTCTCCCGTAAAACATCTGTACATTGCCACACCCTTAGACGATTCCAGCGAAGAAGAAAGATGTCTAACAACAATATCGAACAAGGTAATTTTATCGTAAGCTATATATGTACATTAGGGTAATAACTTTTATACAGTTACATATCGGCCCTAGTATTTCACTTTTTCCCTAGCGTTAAAAATGTTTTCGCGGCAAATGCGTTAAAGTTTTTGATATTTGCTCTAAACTAAATTTAATTTTTTTCATACGTATAAATGTCGTGGTCATTGTTTGACCACTACATTTATACGGAGAAAAATCAAGGATAGGGGCGGCGGTTTACCCCCTTTCTAATTCAGCTCTCAAACATGTTTATTATATGTATTATTAAAAATTCATATAAATTTATTTGTGAATGTTTTTAGAAAATCGATTTGGCGCGAAAGGTTTTTGCACCAGAATGACCCGATGAAAATATTTTCGTTATTAGAACACTTCTGGCTACCACGTGGTGATAGGGCCTAATTTTGGTTATACCCTAATGTACATATGTATATTATTATAATTAAATAATTAAATTTCATTAATTTCAGTGTATTTCCCGGGGCATTGCTGTTATTCAAGCTTGCTATCTTCATAACATGGAAAAGCATCCTATACGTCATAGCATACGTATAACTACAAACCGCCTTTTAACTAAACAAGAGATGGAACATGCATTCAATATCATTGAAGAAGTTGCAAATGATATATTACCATAATTTATTGTTTTGTTACTATTGTACAAATTTATTTAAAAAATGTACAAACATGCTTATTTAAGTACATATATTCAATTTAAACAAAAAATTAAAAATTAATGACTTTTATTTGTGTATTAAAAAAAAAACTGCACATAATCTAATCACAATAAAAATATAAGATAAAACAGACATCAAAGTGTAGTAAATCATGCCCGAATATCAGTTTTGTGTATATTTAAATTTTTGTCGGATTTTACCTTAATTCATATTTTATGATATTTATTGACACAAACATGGAGGCCTAAACGTATAAAATTTGTTGAATCGATTTATCTAAATATAATACTGGTTTATTTCAAAGGGATACTAATATTTAAATATAAGTCAATTATGGACGTTAAAAGCATTTCTGGAAGGTAAGTTTGGGTGATGTGGTAAATCATGAACTTTCATTACGAAAATCGGCATCAAATGATCTTCAAAAGAAAATTTGAGAATCAATGTTACTTATAGATGTATGTACAAGTTCTTAAAGTTTTGGCCTTACACAATCCAAACTCTTAAAAATTTGTGTTATATCATAGAACTATTTTTTATAAACTTTGAAATAAATATTTAATAGAGTAACAAACTTTAAACTGCTCGAAATCTGATCATGAAAAATAATGCATTGTTTTATTTACATATACATATGTATGTATACAAGGAATGAAAAGTAAAAGAATCACTTATGATAGTCTTCAATGTGCTGGGCAAAAATCATTCAGATCTATAATCGTGTATTTCTTAACACTACTACCTAACATACTACTTTAAAAATCAACCAATAAAAGCAGCTTTTAAATATTATACAATTTAATACAACTGTACGTTCTATCTAGTATCAGGTCTGCAAGATACTTTTTTCGTATTACCTAAATCTAAAATATTAACACACTTCAATAAAAAAAGGTGTGATTACAATTGATATAATTCGAAATAAATAAAGAAAATAGAAAATCTAAAACATAAATAAAAATACGATTAAAAATAAATTTATATTTTTATTGCTCTTTATTTTCTTTATTATTAATTTATAAAATATTTTTAACGTACAAACTGGTGTAACTGGATCCTATAAGTATAAAATATTCATTGAAAACTGGTTTTAGTACATTATTGGGATAAAAAGTACATTTTGTTAACGAAGTTGGTACATTTATGATTTATATTTATCAGACCTGTTGTCTACTATTTTTCATTCAGTCACAAATAAATCGAGCGCATGAAAAGTCGTGTGTGTGAGAGAGTTAGTGGTTGGGGAAAAATTCAAGAGAACTTAATTTGAAAACGAATTAAAATTGGTTTTTTATACCGTCAAAAAGGTGACAACAATAAAAAATTAAAACAATTTTCAGAACGTTGTCTTACAAAACCCTTTTAACGGTACTATATTAAATTAAATAAATAATGGCAAGCTTAATGCGTGTGCCATCGATTTTGGCAAAAAATGCGGCTGCAATGGTAGGTGGATTTTGAATGGTGTGATATGATAAAATGCAAAGATTTTGGTAAAGGAAAAATTGTTTGAATCGTAATTACACAATCAATATTTTGCAAATATTCTTGATTTTCGTCTAAAGTATGGAGTTGTAACTTCAACGGCAACAATCAACAAATATTGAAAAATACACCCCCACGAAGAAAATGTTATTAAATGTTATTTGGTTTTCATTTCACAGTTCTCGAAAAATGTTTAAATATATTGCGGTTATGTAATTTTTTTCTTAGCAATTTTTAATAAATAGAAAAATTTGATGTCATTAAATTATTTAATAGCTTCATTATTTTGCATTTTCTTTGACAGCATGTGATTAGACATTAGATAATATTATTAGTACAAATAATACGAGTAGTATGTGTGCATTATTTGATATTAAAATGTCCATTATTCTTGTTCCGAGTAAATTAAAGAAACCAGGAAAACTACAAACTATATTCCCTTTAAGTTCAGGCCCATCGTCTGTGTTTCTATAATATCATCTTTAAGGTTAATTTTATTACAATTTTAGTGTACATTTATGTGACATCCATGAAAAAAAAAGGTTGATTTAATGCGGTATATATGTATGTATGTACATATGCAGGTAACAAAGCACGTTTAGTAGGTAATAATTTGAATAATACTGTGGCACTTGTCCCGCAGGTAGTTCTTAATCAAATTCCTGCAATGAATATCTTTATTTTGGTATAGGTACCTATGCTTTGTAGGAATATATTTCATTAGGACATATTACTCTGTTATTCGTTACATTTAAAAATATTCGATTCGGGATTAAGCTGTTTCATCAAAATTACTGTAATTGATGTTATTCATCTAGATAATTACTGATTCATTTGAAAGTTTTATGAATATTGTTAGCATTTGCATGTTAAAGTTTTTAATTTGTATTCCAACATATACACGAGCTCATCACTTTATAAACTTTAACCCTTCAGCCAAGTTTTTAGAGTTCATGGAATGGAAAAAATGTTTTTATCAAATTTCCTTTAAAACATTAATTTATTTTCAATATTTTCACACATACATACATATGTATGTACATATGTATGTATATTGCTAACCTCTTTAATCACTAAGATAAAATGGAAACATATTAATACCAACATACCTCCAAAGAAATAAAACAATTTATGTATTTTAGCTTCGAGTATCATCCGTTGTGCCACAACGCGATTTGCACATTACACATGGAAAAAAGGATGCTTCTTCCAAACCTGATGCCATCTCTAAGGAATACCCAATTGTTGATCATGCGTATGATGCTGTTGTGGTTGGTGCAGGTGGTGCTGGTTTAAGAGCTGCTTTCGGCTTGGTTGCTGAAGGCTTCAAGACTGCTGTTGTGACAAAACTTTTTCCTACTCGCTCTCACACTATTGCAGCTCAGGGTGGTATTAATGCTGCCTTGGGTAATATGGAGGAAGACGACTGGAAATGGCATATGTATGATACTGTAAAAGGTTCTGATTGGTTGGGTGATCAAGATGCTATTCACTATATGACACGTGAAGCCCCAAAGGCTGTTATCGAGTTGGAGAACTATGGTATGCCGTTTTCTCGTACTCCTGATGGTAAAATTTATCAGCGTGCTTTCGGCGGACAAAGTTTAAAGTTCGGAAAAGGTGGTCAAGCTCATAGATGTTGTGCTGTAGCTGATAGGTAAATAGCAAATTCCTTGACGATTCAATGGTGTCCGTTAAAAATAACATATTTTTTTATCAATACTTTTAATCGATACATTTCAGAACTGGTCATTCATTATTGCACACACTATACGGACAATCTTTAAGCTATGATTGTAATTACTTTGTTGAATATTTCGCCCTTGATTTACTTTTCGAAAATGGTGAATGTCGTGGAGTTATCGCACTGAATTTAGAAGATGGTACTCTTCATCGTTTCCGCGCACGCAATACAGTAATTGCCACTGGTGGTTACGGTCGTGCCTATTTCTCTTGCACTTCGGCTCACACATGCACTGGTGACGGTACTGCCATGGTTGCCCGCCAAGGTTTACCATCACAAGATTTAGAATTTGTACAGTTCCATCCTACAGGTATTTATGGCGCCGGATGCCTTATTACTGAAGGTTGCCGTGGTGAAGGAGGCTACTTAGTCAATGCCAAGGGCGAACGTTTCATGGAACGTTATGCTCCTGTTGCCAAGGACTTGGCTTCTCGTGATGTAGTGTCTCGTTCAATGACTATCGAAATAATGGAAGGCCGTGGTGTTGGTCCCGAAAAGGATCATGTTTATTTGCAATTGCATCACTTGCCCCCAGAGCAATTGGCTCAACGTTTGCCTGGTATTTCGGAGACTGCAATGATCTTTGCTGGTGTTGATGTAACCCGTGAGCCCATTCCAGTCTTACCTACTGTTCACTACAATATGGGCGGTGTTCCTACCAACTACAAAGGACAAGTGCTAACCATTGACGAAAATGGCGCTGATAAAGTTGTGCCTGGCTTGTATGCTGCCGGAGAATCTGCCTGTTCTTCAGTTCATGGTGCCAATCGTCTTGGTGCCAATTCCCTATTAGATTTGGTCGTTTTTGGTCGTGCTTGCGCAAAAACTATTGCCGAAGAGAATAAACCCGGTGCTACACCACCTTCATTAAAAGATGTAAGTATTAATCATTAAATCGACAACATACGGAGACTGTATATATGTTCATATTTCCTAGAATGCTGGTGAAATGTCTGTTGCCAATTTGGATAAGTTGCGCCATGCCAATGGTAGTATTACAACTGCTGATTTACGTTTGAAAATGCAAAAGACTATGCAACATCATGCTGCTGTATTCCGTGATGGTCCCGTACTTAAAGAAGGTGTCGAGAAAATGTGCGAAATCTATCAACAATTCAAGGACATCAAAGTAGTAGACAAGTGTGTTAACATTTCTCTAAGATACCAAACACATTTACTAATATAAACAAAACTTTTTTCTCTCTATACACATAAAATTTAGATCCATGGTTTGGAATTCCGATTTGGTTGAAACTTTGGAATTACAAAATCTGTTAGCTAATGCTAGAATGACTATTGTAGCTGCAGAGAACCGTAAAGAATCCCGTGGTGCTCATGCCCGTGAAGATTACAAGACACGTATTGATGAATACGATTTCAGCAAGCCTTTAGATGGTCAACAAAAGAAACCTATGGAAGAACACTGGCGCAAACACACACTAACATGGATTACAGACGACCAAGGTTCAGTTGACATTAAATACAGAGCTGTAATTGATTCAACATTGGACAGTACTGTGCAAACCGTACCTCCAGCAATCCGCTCGTACTAAGCTTCGTCATCCTTAACTTCTTAATTTCAAAGTCTCAGACACGCAGATATAATACCAATTATTCTCCCTCCTTCACTTTTCCAACGTATTAAATATTGTGAAACGAAATACACAAATTTTTATCTACAACTATTTTTTATAAATGTTAATGATTTTTATTAGTTTAACCTGCTCATTTTTGTTGTTTTAAGTAAAAGAAGAGTTTGATGTTGACGTAAGTTCCTCCTGGGAACTTTTCTGTTTGTTTTATTTATTACAAATGTCCCCCAACCAACTCGTCTCTATTTGACGCTTTAAAATATGTAGTTGTAAAAATAAATTCAAATTGAAATTTAAGAAAATAACCCAAAATTGTATGTGTTTTGATTTCATTTCAAATTCTCTGATATATGTTTTTAAATTGACTGTTTCAAATTACGGATATGTTTTCTTATTGTGTTTTATTTTATACATTTTATATTTCTGTACATTTTATATTTCATTTTAGTTAGATATGGGCATTTCCACCAAAAAGTCTATTTTTGTCATATCACGTTACGCACCAACAATATATCGTCATATGAAATCCAAAAAGCTCTAAGTTACAAAAAAATCAAAATCAACTTTTTGATTGATTATGATGCATCATAATCAAAATACATGTTCCTGTTAAATTTCACACTCCTAAAATAAAAATCAACGTCCCTATTAATGAAATTCTAAAAGGGTTTGTTCTAAAATTACCTTAAAATTCATGAAAATGTTAAAATTCTTTTGAATTTTTAACTTCGAAACTGAAATGTTATAAGTTAGCATCAAATAAAACAAAAATGGCACTTTTAGCGAATCCTTGTAATTTAGAGAATTTTTTTTAACAGTTTTAGAATTTTTTCAAAGAAAAATTCCATTTTCCGAAAATCTTTATGAAAACAAAGAAGCCTTATGCCTTCCATGTTTCGGCCTATTTGACCAACAAAAACCGATTTGAATTTAGTTGAAAATGTTAAAACTTACAATTTTTTAATGTAACTTACGCCCTTTTGAGTTTCAGAAAAAAATTATCAAGGGCGTGAGTTTCATATCTCCGTAAGTAAAACAAAAACCGCAAATTTTTCTTCAAATAATAATTTGTCAATAAGAAATAAGCTTAACTTGAGAAAATGTTGAACATTTTCGATTTATTTATCATTTTAGACGGTTTTTTTGCTTCTCCTGAAAAATTTGTTCAATGTAACTTAGGGCTTTTTGGATTGCATATGACGATATGTACATATTTTTATATTGTATATCGAGGGACTATATTCAATAGTCTCTATCTAAAATAACACAAGTTTTCAGGAGAGCAAAAAAACTGTTTATTTCGGTAGTTCGTGAAGATTTTTAAATTTTTTCTTGTACAACATATTTTTACGACCATGTTCTAAATCTTTATATAAAAGGAGTTTAAAATTTTGCATTATTTGCAAAATTATGCACAAAATTTATATCAGATAGAGCTTTTTTCTACGAAAATTTTTTTTACAACCTTCAGATAGAGTTTTTCATAGAAATATAAATCTTTTATTTGATCAATAAATATTATATTTTATGCAATTTATTTATTTATTTTATTGAACGTTATAACCGAGCCTAAAAGGCCATCTATAGTTAAATTTAATGAAATAATATAAACCAAATTGTTGAAAAAGCAACAGATTACAAGATTTTGGTCCAAAATCAATGTTATATGGTTAAACACGGCTACAAAACTAATCAAATTAGTGTCATAATTAGTAAAAACACTTGTTTTGCAACAGAAAATTATCCAAAATAATAGAGTTTGAAGCATTTTTTGGATAAGATAGAAAGTTTTTCATTCAGAATTTTTCTTTTTTTAAGATACAGAAATTTAAAAATTGCTATAAAATAGCTGATGCGGGATAGTTTGCTGGATATTTTGCCATAAAAATCTTATTTTCTTGAAAATGACAGATAGGGACTATTGAATATAGTCCCTCGATATATTTTTATGTGTATGAGGCAACCAATGAAAAAGAATGGTCCTAAGATATTGTCAATTAATGTGCATGACGTGATGTGACAAAAAATATACTTTTCGTTGGAAATGCCCATATGTATGTACATGATTCTGCATAATTTATTTACATATGTAAAGTATTTAAAATATAAATAAATTGTCAATAGGAAAATTTAATTCGTTAAGTATTTTTTCCACATTTAAGATAAAATTATTTGGACCACATGCAGCAATATAAGAAATGTTATCCATAGATTTGTTTACAATAGGAAATAATAATTCTGTGCTCACTCTCCCCTTTTTGCCAGACCAAGACTCTTCAGCGTTTGACAATATATTGACAATTTCAAACCTAGAAAATTATGATATTGTGCAAATATAAAAATGTAATACAACTATATATCCAGTAATTACTACCTTTCATCATTTATAGATAAATCATTTAACATTTGATTACACCAAATATCTGCCGACGTTTTATTAAAATAAAGCAATTTTAAAGCATCTCTAGAACGAAAAATAATATGTTAAGTAAAATAGAAATGTATTTGAATGTGACTGTTAGCTTACATTCGATTTGTGTTTCTTTGTAATAAATGCTCTATCAGCCCTAAAAATGGTGTCAAACCACTGCCTGCTGCAAGAAAACACAATCTTCTATGCGATGCTAACGTCGACAGTATGAAATTTGCCTTCGGTAAAGAAAGTTTCAATATTGTATCCATTTCCAAATTGCACAAGTAATGGGAAAAACTGTTTCGATGAGGATATTGTTTTATTAGAAAATGTTTGTATTCCATGCCCATTTCATTGTTCAAGTATTTATCGACATATTTCTTAGGAACAGGTGTATAACATTTCGTCATTTTTATTTCATTTACGCAATCTTCAATTGTTATATGATAGCCTATTGGAAGAGTATAAATAATGTTTTCATTTTTCAACGAAATGACGAAAGAATCATTATTAAATTGGTGTTTGTAAGACATTTTAAAATCTAACAATGATGTCTCATACTCTGAAGAGGTAGACAATATTTTCGATTTATTATATTTGCCCAAATCACTCCACAATTTAATTTGCTCGTCATGTTTTTTAAATTTTACCTCAATTTTACCACTTTCAGTAGATATTTGCATTAGTTTTGGTGGCCATTTTACTCGTCCTTGTAATGTAAAATCAAATTTATGAAGATAAAAGCCAATAAGAATCCATATTTCAATATGATTGTCCTCATTATTTACTAGCCGTATTAAAGAACCCGGATTACATAACTGCTTTGTATAAAAAAATAAAGTTATATCATCATGTTTCTGTATCCAGTCCAAACGGGGTACAACATCGAACTCTGTTACGGGTTTTGCAAATAAATCGAATGGAGTTTTATTAGGTGGACTTAGTGATTCCTTAATTATGGATTCCATTTTAACGGTGTTTGTAAGAGGGCCTATACGACATTTATTTAGTAACTGCGAATAGTTAACCCAAGCATGTACTTCATTGAAGAGTTTAGTAGCATCTGAGCCAACACCGCGCATAAGTTCTTCAACTCCTTTATACATAAGGTGTAGAATTTTTTTATTAATAATTGATAGGTATAATGAAGACAATTATTACATATTTCTATTAATCGTTATAAACTATCAAATCTTTGTTCTTAAGATTAAGTTGAAATACATTTTTTATTGTGTACGTACCTCCAGGATGAAAATCCATATATCTTGTTACATTATATACAACGCCATTTATTGCCATCCAAGCATTATTTCTTGTGTTATGCTTAACCAATTCTTCCCTTGTTACTGACACCGTTCGTCCACCAGTACCAGATAAATCAACGCCTGAATTTCCCAACCTTATCCAATCCATTAAAGAATGACCGGGTTTTAGCGCACATTTGTTGCGTGGATTTCCCGTTGCGGAACCGGTATTTTGAAATTTTTGTGGTACTGCCGCAGTCAATAACGACGAATTTGTACCCTCCGATGGAGGAACTAATAAATTATCTGCCATTCTTTCCTTTCCTTATTAATTTCGATGTATTCCCTCTTTTTTAAAAAATACGGTATTTTAAGTATCTTCCTGTTGAATAGGTACATACATATATATGTATGTATGTATTAAAAAGGTCAACCTTTCTACATCAACTTGAAAATATTAATTCACCTTATAACTTAATTTTATTATTTCTGTAATAATTAACAAACCATGCTTTTTATTGAAAAAATATACAATATAACACATAAACTTATAAAAATAAAACGTACACTAGAAGGTAACACAGTCGAATTCATTAATTTGTTTATGTGGAGTTTGACAGACTAGAATCTGGTTGAAAACTTTTTATACGCGTAATTTGACGTTTCACTGTAAAGATGTTATAAACAGCTGTAGTAACGATGATAACACCTGCAATTCGCCATGCCGATACCAGCTGATTGTTTTTTATAGGCAGAGTGAACACATTGGTATTTTTAAATTGTAACTGTCAAAACGCTTCAACGTTATGTATAAAATTAAAACATCACAGGGACACTTCTATATATATATATATATATATATATATATATATATATATATATATATATATATATATATATATATATATATTGCTTTGTTGTTGGCAAACTCTATATAAAAAACTAAGATGTTGTCAAGAGGATTTTATATATATATATGTATATATATATGTAACTGTACCGACCTGATGACAAATAGGTCGATTTCATTTCTGCTTACAAATTTTGTAGATAGTGTGCAATTCATTTTGGCGACAGTTTGTCATCAGGTCGGTACAGTTACATATATATATATATATATATATATATATATATATATATATATATATATATATATATATATATATATATATATATATATATATATTTATAACTATCTATATTTTAACTGTCGCCAAAATGAATTGCACACTATCTACAAAATTTGTAAGCAGAAATGAAATCGACCTAGCCAATCAAATTTTGAATCATCTTGTGCAGGAACGCAAAAAATGAAACACTAAAATACATATGATTTTCATTTTCTTTTGTAGTATTTCGCGAACATACCAAAGCGTAGATACATACATATAGATATACACTAAAGATAGCAATAAAGACGCGTAAAAACATTTTATTGTTATTCACTTGCTTTTTCTGCCAATTATTAAATGGAAATTGTTTTGTAGCCTTTTTTAAATTATTTTTTTTTGTTATAAATTTAGTATTCCATCAGCTGTCGGGAAAAGTGTAAGTTCTTTCATTATTTTATTGTTTTAAATTTCTATAGGGATGAATGGACAAAGAAAACTCCAGTCATATTACAATATAAAGCAATACGTACATACATGTGTACATAAAAAGTCACCAGTTTTGCAATAAGATATCAGCGTTTCTGCTCAAAGTTAAAAAGTAATGGAATTTTTTTAGAGTTTATTTAATTACGTAAGAATGCTTTGATAGTGCACAAAAATGCATATAAAATAAAAGAAGTTAATGAATTTCAGATGTATAGTTATAAGTACATACATACAATATTTTAACAAACGAAACTTTAAATCGAAGAGTGATATTTACACTGCCTTTTTAGGTAACACTTGTATATTAATTTGCCGGACCTTTTTGTAAGGGGAGTAATTAATAAAACCTTTCTAATATCTCAACTAATATAGGATATATACATATAGTAAATTTAACAGATCTTTATATATATTGAAACTTTACATTTAAGAGATGATTTGTAATAGAAATTTGGTTCATTCATTCTTAATATGGACATTATTAGCTAATTGATTTTAAATTTTCATTTAGTTTTGGGTAAGAAACAAAGAACAAATTATGCTCTTCGAGTGTTTATAAATAAAATGATGTCATTATTTTCAAATTGGTAAAGTAAAAAACCTATGTATAAACGATAAATAATGTACATATGTATGTATACCATATACTTATGTTTAAGGTAACATTTTTGCCGTAGACCAAAATTATGATACATAGTATGTACATACATAGGTATTGAAAAAATCCAATCGATTAAATTGGTAAGGCTTTCCAAGTCCAATCTAAACATATACGTACGTCGTCCTTTATGTAAAGCATGTTTCTATTTGGCGTAAATATTGGGTATTATTCAAATTTTTGAATCGACACCTAAAAGACTGAAATCTAAAATAAATTATTTTTGGTTTATATCTTTATTCGATTTTTTTTACATTTGAGTTGGACATGAATTTAAAAAGGCATTATTGCAAAGGATTCTTATTCCAAAATGTCTCTTAAAAACTGGTTTCGTTATTGGGAAATAATTACTCATTGTCATATGAAATCCAAAAGGCCCTAAATTTTGAAACTTACTATGTATTTTTTTAATGTATCTTACACCCTTTTGTGTTTTAGAAAAAACAAATTCTGAAGGGCGTAAGTTTCATATCTCCGCCAATAAAACAAAAACCTTAAATTTAGTGCTTTTTGGATTTCATATGACAATATGTAGGTATAAACAGCAAATCCTAAAATTTTTGTTGTCCAAAGTCCATACATATGTACATTAGACCGACTCACTTTGCATGGAAAGCAAAAACGTGTTTTTGTTACCCCTCTCAATATTTACCTTGCTTTGTTTTATGACGATTGCCAAAAATTTTAAGTCTAGCGATGACCGTTCGTGAGCGGACCAATTTAAAATAAGGTATTTTTGAATTATTTTTTTCAAATTTTGGTGTTGTTTTGAAACAAAATATCCAATATGGGGTATCGTTTGAAGGGGGTTTAAAAGCAGCGTCCAATGATGTATTAATCATAAATAACCGTCTGCTCATAATTGTCATATTCCAAAATATTTAAAAGTGTTAAGGTTTTCATTAATAAAAATAAAATGTGTGCACAATTTTGCACACCACTAGACGTGGCTTCAAAAACGATACCACATATTGTATATTTTGTTTAAGAAATAACTGTATAATTTAAAAAAAAAATACTAAAAAGTGACTATTTTGCAACCGGTCCAGCTCACGAACGGCCATCGATAAACTGGAAATATTTTGGGAACCATTATAAAACAAAACAAAGATTTTTTGAAACTGGGTAAATTATTGTATTGAACATGAAAAATCGTGTCCCCCATACTATATTTTGTTGAAAACTGCCAGCTCACGAACGGACAACACTAAACCCAAAATATTTTGGGTAACATCATATTACATAACAGCGAATATTTTGAGGGGGTAACTCAAGCACCAATTTTTGTGAGTCGGTCTAATGTACATACATACATATGAATGTACTGATAATCTTTATTTTTGAATATCAGAGATTATCATAATAGGTGTACTCAGTAGCTGTCGATAAACAACTAGAAATACGTACATACATAAATACATACATATGTATATGTACAGAAGTTTTTCAGACATCGGATTGCAATGAGTCAGCATTTTTGGAAATTTTGTGCAGAAACATTGCGTATCAACATTACAGAACAAGAATGAATTCAGATTTAAAAACTTTATAATTCTATAATATATATTATATATACATTAGGTTTATTATTCATTTTTGTAATATTTGCAAATATCAAAAATACTATAGCATTACTTTATAAGAGTATTAATAAAAATAGTTTTTTACTATCAGAAAAGTATTGGCAATAAGGTAGTGCTGTGGCATTTTCCCTCCAAAAAACAGTTATATTCTAGTATTCTATATATTTTTAAATATAAATATTTCTCCATTTTAGCGGATAATTTTCCTGTTGCATTTTGAACATTCCATATATATATATATATATATACATATATATTATAAACATTGTACATAGATTTACAATAAACATGTCGGAGACAAGCACATATAATGCCCATCGAAAGCCCACCAATATTAATACAGTAACTGCCAATTGCACAAGTTCATCATTTGCAAGAACAATCGAAAGTTGGGCATTTCGTTTTGTAAACATAATTGCCCGATTTATATTTCAATTAGTTTACGGAGTTAATGGAAAATCTATGCCGGCCATTACTGATCCGATTCTATTAGAATCGGCAAGTTCATTGGCTAAAAAGATACGAAAACAAGAGGTAAATAAGTATGGTGTCTGATATTAAATTTCTTTTCAATAACTTCTTTTGAACGCAGCTAACAAGTGTACAAGTTTTGGAATCTTTCATCCGACGAATCAGAGATGTTAATCCTTTATTAAACTGTGTAGTAGATGAACGATTCGATGACGCAATGAAAGAAGCTGAAGAAGCAGATAATTTAATTAAATCTGGAAAATTATCTGAGGAAGAATTGGAAAAGGAAAAACCGTTTTTAGGAGTTCCGATATCAACAAAAGATTGTATAGCCGTTAAGGGTATTTAGCGCTCTAATATATATTAAGTTTTCCGATCCCTAAAAGTAAACATTGTTAACAACCCATTATTTTATGCTTTTTAGGTTTGTTGCACACTTCTGGCCTGTATGAACGGAAAAATGTTAGAGCGGAAAAAGATGCCGAAACAATTGCATTAATGCGTCAGGCTGGAGCTATTCCATTTGCTTTAACTAATGTTTCAGAAGTTTGTATGTGGTGGGAAAGTAATAATACAGTACATGGACGCAGTCGTAATCCATACGATACAAATCGAATTGTTGGAGGTTCGAGTGGCGGTGAAGGATGTATACAGGCGGCAGCTGCATCCCCCTTTGGATTAGGTTCAGATATAGGAGGATCCATTCGTATGCCTTCCTTCTTCAATGGCATCTTTGGCCACAAACCCTCAAAGTTTGTAGTATCAAATGAAGGACAATTTCCCATTCCATTTTCTGAAGAACAAAATTCTTTTTTGGGTATTGGACCTATGGTAAGACATGCTGAAGACTTGAAGCCTGTTCTGAAAATTATTGCCGGCGAAAAGGCATCTCTATTAAAACTTGATGAACCAGTCGATTTGCAGAAGCTCAAGTTCTTTTATAAGGAAGACGATGGCGGTGGTCGTTTAGTTTCCCCAGTTGATAAGGATATTAAAGAAGGCATTAGTCGCATTGTTGACTATTTGCAGAACAAACTAAAAGTTTCCGTTGAAGAAGTTCAGTTACCACAATTTCGGCAATCTGCTACAATATGGTTCGCTAATATGAAAGACGATTCCGGTTATGGTTTCGAACATCAGTTGGGGAATTTAAAATATGCCATCAATCCTTATATCGAACTGTTGAAATGGTTTATAGGGGTTTCGAAACATACATTTATTGGACTACTCACTGCTATCTTGGATAAATCTCAATGTCAATTTGGATCTCCTAAATATTATCATTTGGTTAAGAAACGCAATGAATTGCGCGAAGAAATGCAAAAACTTCTTGGTGATAATGGCGTGCTCATATATCCAACTCATCCCACCGTAGCTCCTTATCACAATGAACCCATAATAAGACCTATTAATTTTTCTTATACTGGTATTATTAATGTTTTGGGATTTCCTGCAACAGCTGTCC